GATAGTTACAAAGTATGTTAAAAAAACAAAACATCTAAGCCTTATAAAAATAAATCCAGAACTTCGGTGTGGTGTGGCTCAGTGGTAGAGCTCATCTACCAAGATACACTGCCTTTTATTTTTCCTCTAAACGATAGGCTCTCCATTCATTTTTGAGAAAATGTCTGCCCAAAACCCAAGTTGGAATAACTGTTGTCAACCATTGTTTCAAGTAAAAATACTGTCCATTGACGTGGTTAGTTAAGCTCATGACTCAGTCACACGGCGGTTTTCCTCAAGTCCTCCTGACAAGTGTTCATGTGTGCTTCCCATCTCCTCACTTGCAGTGTTAAAGAGATGTAGTAAGGGTCAAGATTTCATTGAAATAACTTAGTGTTTCACCAGAGACATTCTTCCTTTTCCCTTCTTCCTCGGATACACGGCGACTAGTAGTCTGGTGTTGCTGCCTTTGTTGCGCGGAGGTGCCGGACATTGTGTTTGTGGAATCACTGCAGATGTCATTGCAACGCCTTAGGATTCTTGCAGAAATAGTTCAGGCAGAGGGTCTGAGGCACCCACCTAGAGAACCATTGAAATACATGCTTAGGGGCTCACTCCTGTACTCCTGCCTACTTGGGAGGTGATCAGGAGGATTGAGGCTCCAGGCGAAACACATCTCAACATGGTGGTACGAGTGATCTCAGCTACAAGGAACATGGTCCAGAGCCACACGGGGAAAACAATGTGAGACCCTATCTGAAAAATAACTAATGAAAAAACAAAAAAGAGCCTGGGTGTGAGGCTCAAGTGGTAAAATACCTGCTTAACAAGTATAAGACCCTAAATTCAAAATTCTAGTACTGCTTCCTCGAACCCCCAAACACAGAAATAGGTGCTTAGACTTGCTATATATCTTATCTTTTCATGTAGAGGATTAAAATAATATGCTTAGGAGGAAGGGCACAGTGACTCGTGCCTGTAATCCTAGTTAATAGAGAGGTGGAGATGGGGAGGATGGTAGTTCAAGGTCAGTCTGGACCAAAAGTTCATAAGACCCTATCTCAGCGAAAACAAAAACTGGACGAGGAGGTGCCTGCTTTGTGATTCCCGCTAAGCTGGACACATAAATAGGAAGATCCAAGTCCAGGCTGGCTCAGGCAGAAACACAAGACCCTGTTTGAAACTAAGCAAGGTGCTGGTGGCTCATGCCTATAATCTCAGCTACTTTGAAAAACTCAGATTGGGAGGATCGTGGTTCTACGCCAGCTTGGGCAAATAGTTTGAGAGACCGCATTTCAACCAGTAACTGGGCATGGTGGTACAAGCTAGTCATCCCAAGCTACATGGGAGGCTGAGATGGGGAAGATCAGGGTCCAGGCTGGCCTGGGCAGAAAGCAAGACTGTATCCAAAATAACCAGAGAAAAACGGGCTGGAGGAGTGGCTCACACAGTAGAGTGCCTGAGTTCAAACTTCAGGCCCACAAAAACAAAAAAAAGCTCAAATGTGCTTTTGATAGTAACTGATTTCACTTGTTTTTTGGTTTTTTTTTTTTTGTAGTTCTTTTATTTATTTTTATTTTTTAACAATATATGTATTTGTCCAGTTCTTAGAATAGATAAAAAGTAGTTTCAGAATAATTGGCCTATGTTTCTTGGCTTAAAAAGGTCTATGAAAGTTCAATGTGTTTAGAGATCTTTTTGCCTTTATTGTGAATCAGATCATCCATATATTGGGTTCAAATGTTTATCGAGTTCATTTTTCAGTCCCCTTGAGTGATAATGTTTATTTGTGTGGCTCAGTCCACTCATCTGTTTGTGTGATATTGCCAGTACACTGTTGATAGCAGTGGAAATAGGTGACATTTACTGTTTCTCTTCTCCAGGGTTCTCCTACTAAGGTGCTGGCTTTAAGAAATATATTATTTATCATGTTTAGAAAGTATCAGTTTCTGTTTTATTCAGCTTTATTATTAGGAAATTTGCAGTTCTTTTAATATTGCTGTGAGGAGTTTTAATCCACACCAACAGCCCACATTTATTTCTTCATACAGATGTTTACTAGACAGACACTAGTGAAGTCCTCAATCAGGTTTTGTTCTTTAAAGGCTAAAGAAGATAAAACCAAAACAGTAAAAATGGTCTGCATGGCATGTTATCAAGCTAGGTTGAAGAGTTGGAAGGAGAAAACAGTGAAGTGGTTTTCTTTACCAACAGGATTAATTCTGAAGACAGTTTACCTTTCAGCCTGTAGAGAATACAAACATAAACCATTGCAAAACAGGTGTACTAACACTATTAGTATTGTCCTGTTCCAGTGGAGTTTCTTTTTCTTAAAAGAATGTTTGTTAAAATGCGTCTTAAAAATTCCGTTTCTTGGCGTCAGCCACCCATAATCAAGATCCTTGTTCTCCATCATTCTGAGTGAGGTTAGCCTGGCCCAAAAGACCAAAAATCATATGTTCTCCCTCATATGTGGACCTTAGATCAAGGGCAAACACAACAATGGGATTGGACTTTGAGCACATGATAAAAGCGAGAGCACACAAGGGAGGGGTAAAGATAGGTAAGACACCTAAAAAATTAGCTAGCATTTGTTGCCCTTAACACAGAGAAACTAAAGCAGATACCTTAAAAGCAACTGAGGCCAATAGGAGAAGGGGACCAGGAACTAGAGAAAAGGTGAGATCAAAAAGAATTAACCTAGAAGGTAACACACGTACAGGAAATTAATGTGAGTCAACTCTTTGTATAGCTATCCTTATCTAAACCAGCAAAAACCCTTGTTCCTTCCTATTATTGCTTATACTCTCTCTTCTACAAAATTAGAGATAAGGGCAAAATAGTTTCTGCTGGGTATTGAGGGGGTGGGGAGGAGAAGGAGGGGGCAGAGTGGGGGGTAAGGGAGGGAGTGGGGGCAGGGGGGAGAAATGACCCAAGCCTTGTATGCACATATAAATAATAAAAGAAAAAAAAAAGATCCTTATTCTCAAAGCAATGGTTCTTTCTTTCTTTATTTTTTGCTAGCCCTTTTTTGTGATGCTTTTTTTTTTTTTTCCTGAGGTAGAGTCTCAAGAACTATTTGCCCCGGGGCTGGCTTTGACGGTGATCCTCCTGATCTCTGCCTCCCCAGTAGCTGTGATTGCAAGTGTGAGCCACTGGCACCTGGCTAAAGCCATGGTTCTTAAGAATTGTGTTTGTGCAGAATTTTTTCCCTTGACATGAGTCTAGTTGTTCGGCAGCTCATATTTACTAATGACTTTCCCCTAATTTCTAATAGAAAACAGTACAAATGAGCAAAGTAAATGTACAGTAGTGGATAAGAGTAATGCCTAGTTTATTAACGTAAAAATTTTAATTGTTTTTAAAACATCTAGTAATATCATTTCTTGGTAATACTCAGTTTGATAAAACAAGATGTTAGAATTTTATGGTGTTTGAATTAGCAATAGATGTATTGCCCTGTAACAAATAAGTTTAGCAGCTTAAAACAACAAATGTTACTCCAGTTTCTGTGGGTCAGGCCTCTGTGCATGGCTTACTTTGGGTTCACTGGCTCAGGGTCTTTCCTGGGGGAGTGAAGGTGTTGGTGGAGGTGGTAGTCATCTGGAGGCTGGACCAGGAGAGGCTATGCCTCCCGGGTCACTCTCCTGTGGTTGTTAGAGTTCATCTCCTTACAGGGTGTTGGACTAATCTGAGGACTTGATTTAGTTGGTTACTGCTTAGAGGCCTTTTTCCACTCCTTGCCACGGGGGCCTCCACAGGGCAGCTCACTGCATGGCAGCCGGCGTCCATCAGTGGGGTCAGTTGAATGAGCAGAAGATGGACAAAACAGGCATCTTTTTTGTAACCTACTTTCAGAAGTCTTAATCTCATTAGTTTTGTTGTACTCTGATTGATAGAAGTGTCACTTAGTCCAAGGAAGGGGAATCTACACAGGTGTGAATATGAGGAGGTGAGGATCATTGGGTCCATTTTAGAGGCTGTCTACTGTACAAGAGCATCATGGATGTCCATGAACAGACAGCGACTATACAGGGGGGTCTCAAAAGCCCAACTCTATGGCAATTGAAAGCTGAATGTAGACTGACACTTGTGTTGTTGCCCTGCTGTATTTAGGAAGCAATCTTAACTTCAGTTACTAAATCTGTTCCTTTAGAAGTTACATTCAGAAGTCAAGTGTGGTGATGTACCCTTGTGATCCTAGCACTCAGGAGGCTGAGGCAGGAGGATTGAGAGTGGGAGGCCTGGGCTACATAGTGAGACCCTGCCTTAAGACATAGAGCAAAATGAAATGAAAAAGAAAAAAGAGTGTTGGAGGGCATGGCTCAAACTGTAGAGCACCTGCCTAGTAAGGTCAAGCACTGAGCTCCAATTCAAGGTACCCCTCCCCCCGCCAAAAAAAAAAAAATCTGTGCTGCAATCAAGGGATAGAAGAAAGCTAATTTTTTTTTTTCTTTTTTGAGACAGGGGCTCCTTATGTGATCTAGGCTGGCCTCGAACTCACAGATCCTCCTGTCTCAGCCTCCTGAGTGCTGATTTCAGGCCTGTGCTTCCCCATCTGGTTAAATGAAATAAAAATTTTTAGATCAATTTCTAGTGGGAGGAAAAAATTTCTAAGTAACTTATGTAATTCCACTGCTCAGGAGGCAGGAGCAGATCTTGAGAAGTCATTTTCAGCACTTGTAAGGATTTAGAGACACATATTCCTGCAGTATCCAGGCCAATGATAGGCGTTTCTTCACAAAGGAAGAACTGTCTCTGTTGGTGCTTGGGTTACCTCCCCCCTTTTCTTGCTTTTACAATGTAATATGAAACAGCCAAGATTAAGCTATTTTTGTAACTTTATTTTTAAAATTTTCATAAAATGGAATTTGGTTCCCCTTCCCCATGGATTTTAAGTGTGTCATTTCCATCTCTGATACATTTTACTTGGACCCATGATCATCTTTGTGGTATGGTTTAATTGCATATTAGGGTTGACCTGTATGTAAATGTGTTTAACATTCCTATGTCTGTAACAGGAATCCTACCCATCTTCTTCTCCAATATGGTTTGTGGACTCTGATGACCCAAATCTGACATCAGTTCTGGAACATCTAGAAGATATCAAGAACAATGATTCGGTGAGAAAATAAGCCAAATCACGTTTTTTCCCTTCACATGAATGTTGGATGTAGAAATTGTTGAGGTAATGATTTAAAAGCATGATAATGATTTAAAAGCATGATTAATGATTATTTATGATCTTAAGAGTGATTAAAAACTAGACTCGTTTTTAAAGTTATTCAAAAACTTAAATTTAAAATAAATAAAAAGTTCTTGAAGTTCTGTTTACTACCTGGTTTTCTCTCTCTCTCTCTCTCTCTCTCTCTCTCTCTCTCTCTCTCTCTCTCTCTCTCTCTCCTCCCTCTCACGCCTCCCCTACCTCATTTCCCATAGGCATGTTTAAGATTAGGAATTAAGGGTCTCTTTTCCCCCTGCCTTCTAACCATTAAACCAAGAAGCATTTTTGGTAGAGACCATTAACCAAGGTGGGAGGCACAAAATGGGGAAAAGACCAGTGCAGATGTAAAGGGAGGTAATGACAGAACAACCCAGTGTAGTGTTAGGTGTTGGATCTGTGAGTCTGCAGACCAAAGGCAGTGAGAGAGTTCTGTTTAGTGCATAGCTGCACTCACTTACCCATGGGGAGGTGTTCCCAGACCCCCAGAGGGACCTAAGTCTGTAGGAGGGGTGAGTTCAACTAAGATACATTGTAAGACCTCTGGCAAAGTCACAATGTACCCCAGAACGACAGTAATAAAACTCAGTACAGTAAGACATCAACAGCAGATACTAAAATCGGGACTTGGTGTGGCTCAAGTGATAAAGCGCTTCCTAGCAAGTTTGAGGCCCCGAGTTCACACCCCAGCACGACTCCCTTCAAAAAGTCAATTATAATAGTAAACTCTAACAGTAAAGAATTATAGAATTGCTTATTTTTGTATTTTCTTTCAACATTTTTGGACCCTAATTGACCCAGGGTAAATGAAAACTTGATTGTAAACTTCATTTCGAGAAAACTAGCAAATGAGACACACAAAGAGGAAGTTTAAATCTTCATCATTTTTCAACCTAATGTGACCACTATTGATTGATTGCTATCTTCTGCCAGGTTTTTTTTGCTAGTAAAATACATACACCCTTATACGTATGTTTAAATAGTTGAGGTCATACATCCTTCTAAACATTGTCACTGTACTTTCCAATGATGTTGTAAAGTCCTTACAGAAAAAATAATCATTATTTTATTTGCTGGTGGTCTGATTGTTTAGCAAACAATACTTAAGGAACCGCGTGTGTGTGTGTGTGTGTGTGTGTGTGTGTGTGTGTTAGTTACTGGGGCTTGAACCCAGAGCCCCGCACATGCTGGGCAAGTGCTCTACCATTTGAATCATGTCCCCCTAATAAAACAATTTTTATGATGACTTGTTAAAATCTGTTTTATAAAAATCAGTAGTGTTCCCAATTTTCAGCTATTACTAGATAGAAAATATAGTGGTATTTTTGGTAATTACAGCAAAAATTAAATATTTAGGAATAAACTTTTTTTGGCAGTACCGGGGTGTGAACTCAGGGCCTCACGGTTGCTAGGCAGGTGCTCTACCACTTGAGCCCTTGGAATAAACTTGATGTACAGGGTTTGTATGCCGAGTGGAGTGAAAGACTTGGATACTGTGTTCCTGGATGGGCAGACTCCATGTTATGGACTCGTCAGTTCTCTTTTTATTTTCATGTTAACTTACAGATACAGTGCAGTGTCTCTAAATCCCAACAGATTTATTTTTGGAACTTGAATGAATGGTTCTGTAGTTCTAGTTTTTTCTCCCTTGCAGTACTGGGGATTGAACCCAGGGCCCTGTGTGTGCTAGGCAAGTGCTCTGCCACTGAGCTCCGTCCCGCTCCTTTAATGTTTGTTTAGAACAGCAAATAATACAAATTTAAAAAGGTAATGAGAATTGTTCAACCAGATATTAAATAAAATACTGTATTCCCTCACTGGACCAGACTGATAAAGGCAACAGAATTTTTTAAAGTCATGCAAATGAGAATTTAGAATAAGGTAAAGGTGGGGTTTTTTTTTGTTTTGTTTTTTGTGGTACTGGGGCTTGAACTCGGGGCCTTCATCTTGAGCCCCTCCACCAGCCCTATTTTTGTAAAGGCTTTTTCAAGATAGGGTCTCAGGAACTGTTTGCCTGGGCTGGCTTTGAATCCAGATCCTCTTGATCTGTGCCCTGAGTAGCTAGGATTATAGGTGTGAGCTATTGATGCCAACCAAAGGTGGTATATATATATTTTTAATCATGTTATTGTACTGGGGTGCATTGTGACATTTATAAAAGTTCTTACAATGTATCAGACTTAAATTCACCTCCTCTATCATTCTCCTTTATCCCTTCCACCCCCATTCCTGGAATAGTTTCAGCAGGGCTCCTTTTTCCATTTCATACATGAGCACATACTATTTCCACGATATTCACCCTTCTTCACCCTCTCCCTGTATCTCCCCTAGAAGTGGCATTTTAACTCAGCAAAGCATGGTTTTGGGAGAATTGACCAATTGGGGGAGTTAAAGTCTTCAGCTCAGATTTTTGTCAAGATACATTATAGGTGGTTTAAACACATTTGTCCTTAAAATTAAGAACAAAACATGAGTTTGAAGATACTTAAGAGTTAAGCTTGATATGGAGATCCATAAAGGTAAGAGGTAAAAATCAAAAGCTAGGCAGATACTGTTCCTATTTTCAGCAGGGACTGGTGAGCAGGAGTGAGAGGCATGACTAGCAGGCAGTGCCTCTGAAGAGCCCCTGTGCCACTGCTACAAGTGCAGAAAGGAGTGGAGTGAATTTTCAGTGTCTAAAATGCTCAGAAAAGGGCTGGTAGAGTGCTCAGGCCATAGAGCACCTGACTAGCAATTGCAAAGCCTTGAGTTCAAGCCCCAGTACTGCCAAAAAAGAAAAAAAAAAAAAAAAAGGGACATAATTTTAAAAAAATATATTTACATGAAAGGAAAAAAAATAGCTCACCTTTCTATTTTATAGCCTCTGCCAGTGTCTCATAATCTAGTTTCTAGAGAGAATAAGCTATGTTTTTCGTTTTTATCCATTTAACTCAGTGTAATCTGGATTCTGCCTTAATTACTGTAAAATGTATCTCCTACTCTTCCAGTCCAGAAGTTTCCTTTTTAGCCTACCATGACCCCTCTGCATCATTTTGGTATTGTGGATTGTTCCCTTGTTGAAATGTCTTCCGTTACAAAACACTTACTGCTTAGTGTCCACCAGTGCAGAGTTGGTTAAATAAAAATAACTGTGTAGTTGTATAATGAGTGTTTCATTGTAATTAAAAAAAAATACAGGCCATCTTTCCATACAAACACACATAAAGTTCCAAGATTTTCTAAGTAAGAAGCAAGGCATAGAATAGTGTATGTAATCTGGACCCTTTCATAGGCAGTGTTGGAAAAAAGATGTATATCTATGCTGCTTTGTCTAATTTTTTTCCTGGGTGGATTCAGAAACAGTTACTAGAACACACACACACACAAAATGTTTTTAAACCATTGACTGGCTTCTCTGTGAAGCTCTGTGATATGGGTATAGACAGGCAAGTTCCTGGGAACTGATAACTAGTGGGGACTCCCATGAAACCAATGTCTTCTTCCTTGTTTTGCTTTTATTACCTTGCCTTGGTCTCCTCTGAGCTCTTCTTCCCTGTTACACCTTTTTCTCTTCTCATTCTGTGCATTCTCTGAATAATTTATTTTTGTTACTTATGTTATGACCTACATATCTATCCAGTCCAGGAATTCCTAAATCTGTATTTCTAGTTACAATCTATCTCCAGAGTTTCAAACCCGTATCTGTACGTCATGTATGTCCAGGAAATTTCTCTTGGATATACCATGGGTGTTTAAAACAATTATATCTCAATTTATACTCATCTGTGTCCTAGCACTCCCTCACTCCATCATGTTTTCCCTTAATTCTTTTTGTGATTGTGAGTGGGACAAAATGAAATAATGAAATTGTGCCTGTGCCTGAACCTGAGAACTATCTTAGAGTTCTCCCCACTCCTCTGTTCCAACCCCCATACTATCTCAATTTAAGACCTGCCCATCTACCTTCATATGCTGAAATTCTTCCCTATGATTTTAGATTCTTGTCCCATCCCTCAAATACTTTTTTTGGAGGGGGAAGAGATTGGGGCATAAAATTGAACTTCCTCGAAGATGTACTCCCTGCTTTTCTTGTTGCCTGGCTGCCTCCTACAGGGCTCCTGCACCTCCTGTACTAGGAGTCTGAGTGTCCCGGGCTGAATCCTGATCACCAGGCCTCATCTGTGTTATGCATTTAGGACAAAACAGAGCTTATTGGGTGGCCAGCGGTTCTTCAGTGGGGCTTTGCTTCCTTTTAAGCATGAGGATTTTTATTTGATCCTGATTTACTGTTCAGCCTTCTGCATTTCCTCTTGTTCCTTTGTGTACTTTGGAAGGCCTGTTCTTTGCTTGGTTTAACCCATTCTTATCCTGTGTCTGCTTTCTTAGCCTCTCATAAACCTTCTTCTTTTCTTTTCTTGGTCAGAGACACCCAGGAAACTTCCTAACAAGTGAAGTAATGTTGGATCCCAGTTGAGTCTGTTAAATATTGACCATTCTTAATCTGCAACTGCTAAACGTACAGATTGGAAAGTATCTTAAGCAATGAAATACATTTGTGCATGTGATTTTCCTTGCTTACTTGCTTAAAGTAAATGCACTTACAAAATAATCTGAATTTGACAGTTTTCCTAGTGGATTTTTTGGGGCGGGGGAGGGAAAAGGGATAGGCACTTCAGGGCCTACTAAGCATGAAGTGTTTTCACAGGTTTCATTGAATCTTTACCATTCTGAGGTTTTAATATCTTTGTTTTACAGATGGGGAGACATGAACTCAGGGAATTAGATACTATACCCAAGGCCATCTATTTTCCAAGGCTCAGTCTGCTAGACCACACTTACCTCTATACTTGTCAATGAATGTGACTGTGGCCTATACTGTTTTACAGTTCACATGCCAAAAAACTGCTCCTATTTTTTGTAGCTCATTAATGTTCTCTTGTCTGAAGCTGTAAGGCTCTAAGAAAAGAAGTTGTTAACTAGGAAGTGGGCAATGTCTGCATGTCTCTCCTCGACATCATCCTGCTGGGTGTCAGTTGTAGGAAGTATACCCAAGCCAGAGCAACTTCCTGTTACTTTTTTAATAGTAATTTTCTTATACTAGCAGTCCTTAAAAATATTTTAAAGACTTAGTCTATCCATAGGCTAAGTCTGTGGTTGAGCAGCAGCAAAGTTCCATTCCCTCTGGATTGGTTACAGTAGTTGTAGCACTGTCAATGTCTTCGAGGGCTCTTTAACGTGTGCTTACTTACTGAAATGTGTTTTGTAGCTTCGTCAGCAGTTGAAGTGGTTGATATGTGAGCTCTGCAGATTATATAACCTTCCTCAGCACCCGGATGTTGAGATGCTAGATCAGCCACTACCCACGGGCCAGGTAACGTAAAAACTCTAGTGTTCAAGAGCTGAGATACATTGTCTGAGTCAAAAGTACACAGGATGGTTTTCCTTTTTTATTATACAAATTACTTAGAAGTTAGTTTTTTATTCCTTTTGAATTGCTTTGTGTTTTTTGGTGCTAAAAATACCTTTTCCATTCTTTGGAGCTGCTCTTACTGTGATAGGCAGACACCTGCTCCCCCGCCACTGTGCTGGTGTTTGTTCCTGTCCCTGATTTCCATAAATGCTCCTTGCTTCTTTGCCTTTGCCTAGTCAGTCTCCTAAAGTCCATCTCTGCTTCTTAAGCTAACCCAAATGTTATCCCCTCCCAGCAGTAGGGATTTCTGTGAGCGCCCCACCACCTCTGACTGCTAGCCTTGCCTGTGTAGGCATGCCACTGACTTGTACTGAAATAAATGAGGACCTAGCTCTTACATCAGCTGCTCACCCACTTGCCTGTTCTAACTTGCTGTGTTTAGCCATCTGGATCATCCCTGTTTATCATTAGGACTTTGTGGTGTAGAGCCAGGTTTTCTATCATCACAGTTCCTTTCCTATACTGCCTCTTGTTCTGCCAGGTCTTCCACAGCATCTCTTAGTTTTGGAAGCCTTGTGCTCTGTCCCTTTCTGTGAGCTGTCGTCCACACCAGTTTGGGGTGGGGGGCTGTGGACCAGGCAGCTGGACAGCTGCCACTTTGAGGTTTTTCTTTCTGCCTTTCTAGGGGATGTGTGTTGTTTCCTGGATCTCACATCATCCCTCTCTCATTTTGTCTGATTATGTCCTAAAGTAACAGCCTAAGAAAGCAGGAAGGAGTGGCACATTTTATGAGTTCTCAAAAAATAGAGTCCAGAGTTTGGGTTTTGAATCTTGGTTCTGCTGACTTACTAGCTTATACCCCTGGGCTTGTCACCTAACCCATTTCTCATTTCCAACCCACCAGTGGTAGGAGTAACTGTTGTTGGGGAGCTGTGAGGATTAGATGAGTGGTGAAGGGGAGTTGTGTTAAGTGTTGGCTGAGCGCAGTAAATCCTTAGCAGACGTTAGCTGTGTGTTCCGATCCCACACTTGATGGCTCGGTTGGCTGACGACTGTTGTCTTGTAGCCAGTGGGGGAGCCCCATGCCCTTCTGAGCTCGCTCATCGCGCCCACTTTCTCTCCAGAGGGGTCTGGAGCCGCTTCTGGTTGGGGTCTCTGCAGGGATGGGCCTTTGCCGGCTTAGAGCCTCGAATTTCTTGGATCATATACGCGTGCGTGCTGACGTTAACTTTCCTTCGTGGCACGAGTCTTTGTATCTGGTATTTTATTTTTGTTGTACTCTTACTAATTTTGAATTCTAGAATTTTTTTTTTTATTGTGGCATTGGAGTTTGAACTCAGGGCGTTGTGCTAGGGTCTCATTTAATGCTGTGCCTGGACTGTGATCCTCCCACCTGTGCATTCCTGTGGAGGGGTGCCGGCCGCCATTCCCAGCCATGGTTGACATGGGGTCACGTGAACTTTTGCCCTGAGCTGACCTCCAACAGCAGTCCTCCCACTCTTCTCCTCCCAGTTAGCCAGGTTTACAGACCTGAGCCACTGCACCTGGCTGAATTCTAGAATATTTTCCTTATCCTTCAACTTTTGGAAGTTTTACATGCATGGTCATAACTAAGGTTTTTTTTTTTTTGGTGATACTAGGATTTGAACTCAGGGTTTTGTGTTTGTGAGGCAAATGCCGTACCACTTAAGCCACATCTACAGCTTTAGGTCATTTTTCAGATAGGACCTAGCAGTTTTTCAGCCTCCGACCCCTATCCTCCTACTTGTGTCCCTTGCATAGCTGGGATTACACAAGACCCACTGTGCCCAGCTTGATTATTGAGATGGGGTTTTACTACCTTTTAGCCCTGGCTAGCCTTGAGTTATGATTCTCCTAATCCCTGCCTCCTGAGTAGTGGGATTACAGGCTTGAGCGTGTGCTCAGCCCTTAAATTTTGTTTTGATTATATATGACTTTTTATTTGGTTGCTTCAAACTTTAATGGCTTAAAACAACAATTCTCACTATTCGATGTGTCAAAGGTTAGTTGGATAGTCTTTCTCCTGGTCTCCCTTGGGGACTCACAGTTCAGTCAGATAGTGGCTGGAACTGCACATGAATATCCAGTATGACTTCACAACTCTCACGTCTGGCGCCTTCCCATTTCTTCACATGGCCTTCCTTGTCTCTGTGTGGTATGTTGTCCTTGGGGCTCCTCCTCCAGGAGGATAGGTGGAGTTCTTACCTGTGGTTTCTAAGAACCCAAAGATGAAGCTGCCCTGATAACAGAAAATATATAATGAAAATTACAAAAAATATATAAAATTTAGGATATTTACAATATTCTTTAGGTAAAGGAAACTGTCAAGCACTAAAAACTGGCTTTCCTTTAAACAAATTTTCAGTTAAGAACAGTCAAAGTGGAAACTACAGACTACATAGAAAAAGTAGTCTAAGAAAACACTATAGAGCAGCAGAAGAAACACAAGTCTACATGATAAGGAATGAAAAACGAAGTATAAAATTAAGAAACTAAGGCATGTGGAAGAGTGGATTCACAAAGATAACAGTAGAAATTAATAATGTAGAAAACAGAAAAATCTGAAATACAAATCCAAGAACAGATTCTTTAGACTGGAGCAGATGCAGTATCAGTTCTACCAGCTCCAGTTGTGGGCCAACCCAGACTCACTGGGACCTCAGGAGTCTGATGCTGGGAAGGTGACTTGTGGGGCAGCTCAGGATGAACTACAGCTGGAGGAACTTTTGTTCTTGATCATTCCTTATCGTGGAGTTCTTTAGTGCATTTGCAGGTGTGACATCTTCGTAGGTGTCTTTAAGAAGTTGCTTTGATGTTCACTCTTTGCCCTCTCTTTAGCACCCTCATTTTCTTTTAAATAATCGTTTTACTTTTTCTTGTCTTGTTTTCTTCTTCAAAGACTTTCCTGAAATATCTTCATATTCATATTTTCCTCTTTTTATATACTGTTCCTCTTCTGTTCATTCATAGAGAAGTACTCAGTGACTGATTTGGAGTTCCTTGTGGTTGAGACTTGTCAATTGATGGCTTTTAAGGGTGATTTGTGCTGACTCCTAGTCCTATTCTTCCTGGCATGGGAGTAAGTGACAGCTGAAACCCTTCTCCATCACTGGAGTTGAAAGTCTTACGACCTCTTGTCCAAGGTAGATAAACTGCCTGGGTTGTGTTTAAGGAGCTAGGGAGAGCAGCAGGCTTCAGGCTGGATGGTGGGTCTATGCGTAGGCTTTGGGTTGGCCTCTGTCTGGCTTTCAGTCCCAGCTGTTAATCCTGCTCTTAGTGCCTGGGTCTCTGGGTCTCAGGCCTTGTCATTGTCCCTGTCTCCTGACTCACACCTTTGCCTGCTCTGCTGCATTGATCATCATTCTTCTGTTCCTGTCATCTAGTGTGGGCGAATTCTACTCTCTGCTGGGAGCCTCATCCCCATTCCTAGGTTTCTTTCTTTGTGGCAGTACTGTGTGTGAACTCAGGGCTTTGTGCTTGCAAGGAAGGTGCTCTACTGCTTGAGGCACTTCCCCAGTCCCCCCACCCCACCCCGCGCTCCATTTTTTGTTTTTGTTTTTGTTTTATAGTCCAGGCTGGTCGAAAATTTGCTGTTCTCCTGCCTTAGCCTCTAAATATTGGGATTGCAGGCCTGTGCCATCATCTGTGCCTCCCTTTTTTCACTGTATGTTCATTGTAATTTTAGTGGAGCCAAATTAATGAGAGAAGTATATGTCGTGTTGGACTCTCCTTCTCTGGGATGTCTGTAGCTAACAGTGGATCATGGACATACCACAAGGAGGTCCACCTTGTTTTCCGTGGTTGTGCTTACTCTCCTATGAGCCGTGTACCGGAACCTGAGTTATGTGACAGAGTGCCCTAATTTTGAATCATCTATGCGTTCCCATAATAAACATTGTGAGAATCAGAATGGTAATACTGATTTTTGGATTTTTACTCTATGTGAGACTGTAACATGGTTTTGTTCCCTTTTAGGCTCTTGTTTCATTTTACAAGTTAGAGCCAGGGCTCTAACTTGGGAAGCTTTATGTCTTGTTTTATGAGAGACTTACTTGTTCTGATATATTCTTTTAAGACAGCTCTTCATTTTATTTTCTAAACAAACATGTAAAGATATACATTTTTACTGAGGGCTACTTGACTTCATTGCACAAGGTTAAGCTTTTAGTGTATTTCTGAATAGCTTATATTTCCTAAGTAGTTCTTTTCCATCTTTTGTTCACTTTGTTTTTACCATTAAAAGTTTATTGTGAAATACAACATGCATTCAAAGTAAATAAACTGGAGGCTTAGTATAACACATGGTTACAGTGAACACCTGGGGACTGCTTCCTAGCCATCACCCAGAATATCGTTAGTAGGCTCCTTCCAGATCAGCATTTCCTATTTAGCCATTCCTTCCTTACTTTTCTCTAGTTTTGTAACTTGAGTGCATCCTTGTACAGTATAGTTTAGTGGTGTCTGCTTTGGAGCTTTCTGAGTCCTAGTCGGCTGGGTGTTGTGGTGCATGCCTGTAATTGCAGCTACTCAAAGCGGGGAGATTGGGAGGATCATGGTTAAGACCAGTCTAGGCAAAAAGCAAGATCCTTTCTCAACCAATAAGTTGGGTGTGGTGGTGCACGTTTTTAATCCCAGCTACACAGGAGGCACAAATAAAAAGATCCCAGGGCAAGCTGGCCAGGGAAAAAAATCTGAAAAATAACTAAAACAAAAAGAGCTGGGCGTATGGCTTGAATAAAAGCGCCTGCTAAGCACGTGCGAGGCCCTGAGATCGATCCTTAGTACCATCAAAACAAATCATGAGTACTGTTGTGTTCCCTTCACTCAGCCCATGAGACATTCACGTACACCATGTGTCGCTGCAGTGGTTTCTCACTGCTGTGTTTATTCGTTGTCTGAATACAGCAAGTAGTTACCATTCATGTGTGCACAATTGGATTGTTGCCATATTTTTGCTGTCAGGAAGAGCGCTACCATAAACCTTCCTGTCGGTATTTCTTGGTGCCCCTGTGCAAACATTTCTCTGGGGCATGCCCTGGTTCTACTGGAGCGTGACAGTCAGTTTCTTTAACCTGGATTATCTAGACAAGGACCTTTAAAACGTTTCCAGGAGAACTTTGGGCTGTCAGTGTGTCATGATGGTCAACGTGGCCCCTGACTTCTCAGCCACTTTATCAGCACTGCTTAGACTTGGCCATTGCTATTATATCGTTTGCTTTTACTTCTGTTTGTCATGTTACATAGCCCCTGTGATCCTTCAAGAATATCCCTGAATGGTGCATCTTGTTTTCCTGGAACGGCTGTATTTGTAGGGCTGTGCCCGTTGTGCATGGAAACTGCTCCTGGGATCCTTGCTGTGGTCCTTGTTAGCATTTGTTCAGAGTGTGGGACTCTGCAGAGCACTTGCACACATGGCCTCTGTGTTCCAAAGTGGCTTCCCAGCTCTTCACACCTTTATCTCTGGTATTTATTGTCACACTTGAAAACTCTGCTGCCTGTCTGATTCTTGCTTCTTCCTGTACTTTTTACTTTTCCTTTCTGGAAGTTGGTTTTGTTTTCTCTATAACCATGAAGTCTGGGGATTTACTTTTCTGTATTCCTTTGGAATATTCAGAGCCACTTTAATATTCTACAGTCTTTCTTTAGCTTGTCAAAACTCAAATCTCTTACTCCTTTTTCTTTCTTTCTCTGCATCTTCTGGATGAATATTAGATCTCTGTATTTCTGTCTTTCTTGTCCCTTAACTGCTCTTTTAGTTCTAACTCTTCTGGTCCCTCTCTCTATATTCTAAGTGTCAGGTTGGTCATCTTCATCATAAATGCTTTTGTTCAGTAAAGTCTGTGGGCCCCTTACTGAGTTTGCCTCCTCCTTTCGTCTGCTTACAGTCTTTACTATCTTCTGCTTACTGTCTTCTCTTTTACACAGTAACCTTTATTTTGTGGACGTGGTGGCTTCTCAGTTACTGCTGAAGGTTAAATCTTTTAGTCCTGTTTTATTTTCTTTGCTAGTAGTTCTCCAGGTCATTTGTTTAGTTTGACGTGGTACCTTTTTTTTTTTTTTAAATATTTTATTTATTTATTTTGCAATACTTGGGCTTTGAACTCAAGGCCTCACACTTGCTAGGCAGTACTCTACCATTTGAACCACTTGGCCAGCCCATGTGGTACCTTTCAGATTTTCAGTTTTCTTCAACTCTCACTCTAGATGAGCGATGCTATTGATCATATGAACTGTTGCTATGGATACCATAAGAGTGTGGCTCTTCTATGTTGTGGTCTCCCCCTTCTGCTTTGTAGACTTGTGTTCTTCCTGTGGCATGAACTTTTGAAAGTGCTGGCAGGTAGAACTTGTACCTCATTAGTGACAGGAAGAGACTGTTGTATTAAAAGTAAAAGCATTTTGTCTTTTCTCTCTGGTTCTGACACCAGTAAGAGGTCATCAAGGTGGGTTTCCTGTACAAGAATGATTCTTCCCAACTGCCGTTGGGATGAGAACAGCAATTGTGATTCACTAACGTCTCTAATGTCCTCTCTATCATCTGGATGGGAGAGGCTTTCTGCAGCAGTCTGATCCCGCCTTCCGTGCTTGTGTCTTCCAAGCATCTTCATACTGCTGGTTCCCTTCTGTTTTGTTTTCTGGTGCAGCAATGAATTTTCTCTTGCTTCTAACAGTCTTCTGTCATTTCAGTTGGGTTCTGAGAAGGGCAGGCTGTATCTTAAAATGGAATTCATCTTGGGACTTCACAACCCTATTAGCTTTTCATTTTTGTTAAATTACTTATCTTTGGGGGTAGGCTTTGCTCAGCCTTTTCATTAGTAAAGTGGAGGTCAGGGACTAGTCTGGTCACAGACATGGGCTATAAAAATCACCGTAAAGCACATTTTAAAAATGGCTTCTGTGGGCTAGGTTCTGAAGGTAGTGTTTCAAAAGTGCCCTGTCAGTCATTGAGGTACCCAAACTCATGTTTGGGACTTTCAGGCTAGATTATTCTTCAGATACCCAAAATAGTTTGGTTGGAAAAGAGAAATGAAGAAAAGGGTAAAGTATGGTGTTTTGGGGTCTGCTGCTGCTTTTCTCACTAATTTTTAGGAGACAAATAATAAATGTCTAAAGAAGTCTGTTCTGCATGGTGTATGCCCATGTGACACTTTCCATTCTCTGGTTTTCACAAGAGTTCTACTCTCTTAGATAATGGTTTCTTGATAATTATGTCATCAGAGTATCTAAGTACAGGTGCTTAGATACTGCTGAGCGCTTGTTTGGTCTGAGTTTACCTCTGGATTCTGCTTTCTTGACCTTTGAGACACCCTGGGTCCTAACCTGAGCCCACATGTATGGGTCTTAGATGGTGTCCCAAGAGCTTTGCTCTGGTCCAGAACCCTTTTTTTTTTTTTTTTTCTTTCTTTCTAACTCTGCCTAAACTGGGTATGAAGTCCTGTCCTAAAAGCACACTAGATTTTTTTTAAATGAGCAGTAAATTGTATCTTAGAGACATATTCTGTAGTAAATAACATGTTTTGAAAAATAAAATTGGTTCTTTGGCTATGTGATGATTATTTTTATCATTTTTATAAAGCATTCTTTTATAACAGTCTGATCTTTAAAAATGTCAGGTAGTGGGTATATGTAAAGATTCAGCCTTTCCAAGGTAAGAAGGAAGATGTTTTAAGGATTTGATAGCTTGGAATATTCATTATGAATAGCAGCCATTGATCTGGGATATATAGCCATGTCAGTAGTTTTTTCTTATTTTAAATTATGTTGTAAGATTTTTTTCAGTTTTCTTCATATTTGACCAGCTGCCTTTGATATTCCTAAAGCATCTGTTGCATTGTATTGTCCAGAATGGTTTCTTTTTAAAAAGCTGATAAATGGTATTTGTCAAATCAAAGGTACATTTAAAAATAAATGTTTAAACTTTAATAAGCTCTGTTAGTAGAACCCGAGTAAAATGATTGATAGTTTGCCTGGAAGCTATCACCAGTTTTCTGATGCACCCTATCTATGTGTGCTGTGGGGCTCTGGCAAATTCCTTCTCTATTTCAGAATGGGACAGCTGAAGAAATTACTTCAGAAGAGGAGGAAGAGGAAGAGATGGCTGAAGTAAGTATTTTAAGTAAGAATAACATTTTCATAACTATCTTCAGTCTTGTACATTGTAGTAATTCTCTGATCTCCTTTCAAACTATGGTTGGCGAGAGCACATTGTGTTTGGGAGAGAATATCATTTCTAAGCTCTGGGTTTACCTCTAATGATATGCCTGTGGACAAATTGTTTTATCTTCCTTCCTTGACTTTGATTTCCCAGAAAATAAGAGTGCTTAAGACTTACCACCAAAGTAGTATTTGCATTTAACAGCAATTGGTATTTAGCTTGTATTTGTTTATTTTTAGGAAGTTCTGTATTTGACTTGCAAACAGGTATTTTTAAAGGGGTTTATACCATGATAAGCTGATTTCATTCTAAGAATGCAAGGATGGTTCAACATATGTAAATCAATAAATGTAATATAGTACATAAGTAAATTCAACATCCCATCATGATAAAAGGCCTGAAGAGACTAGGAATAGCAGGAACATACCTCAGCATAATGAAAGCTACATAGAAGAACTCTGTAGCCAGCATTGCCTTAAATGGGGAAAAACAGAAAGCATTTCCTCTAAAACCAGGAATGAGACCAGGTGCTCATGCTCATCAGTCTTGCCCAACATGGTGCTTGCATTCTTACCCAAAGCAATACAGCAGGAGAAAGAAAGAAAGGGATTCAAGTAGAAAAGGATAAAGTCTAATTATCTCTGTAGCAGATGGTAGGAACTTATATTTAAAAGACCCTAAAACTAGGCCCTGGTGGCTCATGCGTGTAATCCTAACTGCTTCCGAGGCTGAGATCAGGAGGATTGTGGTTCAAGGTCAGCCCCAGCAAATAATTCAAGAAACCCCCAACTAGAGCAAAAATGGACTGGGGGAGGGGTGTGTGGCTCAAGTGGTACAGTATCTGCTTTGCAAGCACAAAAGCCCTGAGTTCAAACCCAGTCCCCCACAAAAAGACTTTTTAAGACTCTACTAGAAGACTGTTACATCTGAAACACTTTCTGCAAAGTAACATGAACTAAATCAATATACAAAACTCCGTAGCCTTGTTGTCGTTTTTTGGGGGACTTCAACTCATTTTATAGCCTAGGCTGACCTTTTAACTTACTATGTAGCCTAGCTTGCTCTTGAACTCTCAATCCTCCTGCTTAAGCCTCCTGAGTGCTGGGATTACAGGCATGTACCAATGTGCTTTACTAGTAGGTTTTCTATATACTAGTAAAGTACATGCTGAGAAAAGTAATCAGGAAGACAGTCCCATTTACAATAGCCTCTAAAGACAAAATAAAACAAACAAAACCCATCCAGGAATAAACCTAAGCAGGGAGGTGAAAAATCTCTCCCAGAACATGGAAGGACCTCCCAGATTCATCTGTTGGAAGGAAATGACTATGTTTTGAAAGCCATGTATAGTTCAGTGCAACTCCCATCAAAATTCCAATGTCATTCTTTATGGAAATAAGAAAAACATCCCTAGAATTTATATATAAGCACAAAAGACCCCAAATTGTCAAAGCAATCCTGAGCAAAGCAGAGGTATCACAATACCCAACTTCAAATTCTACTATAGAGCCGTAGTACAAAAACAGCACGGTACAAAAGCAGACACGTAGATCAGTAGAACAGAGGACCCAGAAACTATCGCACACAGTTACAGCCATCTGATCCTTCACAAAGGTGGCAAAAACATATGTTGGAGAACAGACAGCCTCTTTAACACATGGCCCTGGGAGGGCTGGAGGAGTGACTCAGGTGTTTGCCTAGTAAAGCCCAAGGCCCTGAGTTCAGACCCCAGTACTACCAAAATTCTGTGTGAAAGGAGAACTTGAGATAATCCCAGGTACACCTCACCAGAAAGGATGACACTGCCTGCTTTTGAAAACTATTTAAGAACTTAAGTTTGGTTTGTTTTGTGCTAATCTTTTGTATTAATAGAATACCTCAGACTGGGTAATTCATAAAGAACAGAAATTGAGGGTCTGAGGCAGGCGCCATGTCCTGCCCTGAGGGAGGAGAGAAGAAGCCCCTGAAACAGCCCAGTTAACAGGCCGGGGAGATGGATGAGACTTCCAAGCAGTAACCAACAAGGAGCTTAAAAGTGAAGTCTGTGAGGGAAGGAAGAGGCCTGGCCACAGGTGGAGTTAAGAAATCTGGCAGGAAGTCAGCTGTTCCTGTGGCTGAGATCATGGTGACCCAGACTCCCTGCCTGTTTCAATGTCTGGATTCTAGGCCAGAACTTAGCCACCTATAGCTGGATTGAAGTGTTGTCTTGGTGTCTGTGGTGCATTTCAGGATGAACTTCTATTTAAAAAAAAATCATAAGCTGGGCTTCAGTGGCTCATGCCTGTAATCCTAGCTACTCAGGAAGCAGAGATCAGGAGGATCGAGGTTCGAAGCCAACCTGGGCAAATAGTTCACAAGATCCTATCTCAAAAAACCCATCACCAAAAGAAGGTCTGGTGGAGAGGCTCAAGGTATAGGCCCTGAGTTTAAGCCTCAGTATTGGGGAAAAAAAAAGAGAAATCATAATGCAGTGGCTTGTTGTCTATTTTGTCAGCCACTGTACCTCAGCTGTGAATCTAAAGTAAGCCCAGCTAGAATCCTGCCAAGTCTGCTTTTTTTTGGTCTTTGTTCTGTTCTAAATTCTGTATTATCTCAAATTAAACCAACTCATTTGCAAGGGAAAAAAAAAATCAGAAATGTATTTTCTTCCAATTCTGAAGGCTGGGGAGTCCAAAATCACAGTACAAGCATTTGGTACTTGTTGAGGGCCTTCTTGCTGAATCCTCGCAGGGTAGAAAGCGGAAGGGCAGTAAACCAGCCAAGTGCATTGTGAGGCCTTTTAAAAGGGCCCTCGCTCCTTTAGTAAGGAAGAGGGCTCATGGCCCTGTCGCCTCTTAAAGGCTACACCTGCATCTTGGAGGGCACACATTCAAGCCAGAGTAAACTTAGTAGAGCAGGTTCCACAGACATTGAGTTGCCACTGATAGAATTTGAGAGGTTTTTAGACTCTGAAGCTTCTCATTTAAAATTTAAATTCAAATTTTGGAATGAAGCTCTCTGCTTTGACTAGTTTAAAGGTATATTCCATGGTCTTGATCTTAAAACTTTTTGGAACTTACAATTTATTCAGGTTTTACCTTCATTTGAAAAAATTTTTAATATGAAATACTTTTTAGGATGTGTCAGCTAAAGTAGTTGTAGGTTTGGGAGTAAAATGATTCTTAAAATTGTCCAATTAGAATGACTTTGCTGGGGCAGAGCATTTGTTTGAGTGTTTTCATGCAGTTTAACATAGGTGGGATGAGTCACATGAAAACTTTAACCTTTACCGTGGGTCCATTGGATAGTGAAATTGAGACTGTGCTCAGAGTTCATGTACTCTTTTCTTTTTTCCACACAAGATAAGCAAGGGACAGTACCATTAGGGAAATCTAGAAAGGTATAAGACTGGACTTTGGAGATGTCACATTAGGACAGGTAAAAAGAGGACATTCCAGGCCTGAAGCAGCCTTGGGCACCCTCCCTTTGGGGAGAGGAGAGTTAATGTGTTAGGGTCATGGAAAGCAAGATTGCCTAGAAAAGTTAGAGGGTTAAAAGTTTGAATTAGAGATAAACATTTCTGCTTGATGTGACTGTTGGTAGATAGGCCATAGCAGGGAATAGTGTGCTGAGCATATTCTAGAAAGATAATAAGGAGGGGATACAGGCTAAGAGCATTCATGAGAACTCTGAAGAAAACAAGCGTAGGAAGGGAAATCGGAGGGTGGTGGTTAATTCTTTCTCATAGAACGGATGTATCCTCTCTTTCCTGTTCTCTTTTTATTATAGCCAAGAATAATTTATCTTTTGGCATAAGAAACTACAGAATAAGCTAATATTTTTCTTTTTGTAGGATATAGAAGACTTGGACCACTATGAGATGAAGGAAGAAGAGCCTATTAATGGGAAAAAGTCAGAGGATGAAGGAATCGAAAAAGAAAATTTGGCAATCTTGGAGAAAATTAGAAAGACTCAAAGGCAAGACCACCTCAATGTAAGTGTGTGAAATAGCTAGAACCTCGACTTTTGTCTAAGTAATTATAGGGAACAATGAACAGTTCACTAGGTACCAATCTCAGGCACATGCCTGCAATCCCAGCACCTGTGAGGCTCAGGCAGGAAAATCTTGAGTTCAAGGACTATCTGGGCTATATAACGAGTTGGAGACCAACCTTGTCTACAGAGTGAGACCTCACCTCAGAAATCCAAAAAAACAAAAACCAGCAAAAAATACCAATATCAGCCATCCTCCACCCCTGTCTTGTTGGTGGACTAAGGCCTGTTTTATTGTCCTAGTGTACCTCTCCTGTCTGCTGGCAGCCACTTCTTATGCTGTTCATCTCCTCACATCCTGGGGCCATCTGCTGATCCTGTGTCACACTCTCTCCAGCCTGTTGCTGCTTTGTTTGCTTACTCTCCTACTGTGGGATCTGTGTATTCACTTTTGTTTGGTGGTACTGGTGTTTGAACTCAGAGCCTCATGCTTGCTAGGTAGGCACTGTACCACTTGAGCCATTCCACCAGCTCCTCAACTCTAAAATGTGAACAGATAATAAAGGATGACTACTGTGGAAAATGAGAATTGTGTGTAATATGTGTGCATATAGAAATATGTGCATGTGCATGTGTGTGTGCACGTGTGTATGCCAGAGAAGGGAAATGCCAAGTGATGGTCTGGCTGTCTGACTCACCACTTCTTGCCTTGTATTAGAACCATCAGTCAACTTGATGAGATCTGAGTAACAGGTGCTTTGTCTTGAGCAAACACAGGGAAGGAATTGTTACGCAAGTTAATGTCGATACCATAAAAGGGTAGTTTACTCTTACTCTTCGGATCTTATTTAATGTAATAATTTAATTCACAAATTTTTTTCTTAATACAGCGAAGAAACTTAGCCAATCCCATATATTGAGTATCGAAATGAGTTTGAGGTGTCTGAACCAATGGCACTTTCTTTTTACTTTATCTTAAGATTAACTCTAGTTTGTACAAACAGCTGCAGATTTGTAGTTACCAACAGCTACAAGTCATGGAACACTTCCACACGATACACACATGCTGAATACTTTATCTTTACTTGCCTTTGTGTTAATCTTCACAGTCATTGTATGAAACAGGTGCTTTTCACATTTTATAAATGTAAAAACTGAGGCTTAAAACAGTTCAAGCTAGGAACTAATCTTGGTAAACTGTTTTTCCCTCAGAGTGTTGTGACCTTTAGTATCTATAATTATATTTGATCAAAATTTCATATAAAAAATAGTTCATATCTTCAGCTTTAGAATGAGGTATTGGTGTGTTTTCATCCTTAACACAGAATTGAAACCAGTGGCATGCAGGCAAATAATGTCATTTAGTTTCTTCAAATGTAAACTGGATCTTCATTGTAATATTCATGCTGGAAGTCTTACTGATAGAATACTGTTTCAGTTAGTAGTGTTTCATAGTGAGGACCGTGTAGTTTTTAAAGAAATTGGAGCTTGGACTATATGCATACTGAATTCTACACTATTGCAAGGTCCATTACGGTCTGGACATGTTGAATCCAATGATAAGAAATAGCGAATGAACCAGACTTTGTCCCAGTGTTATATTCACTTGAAACTTCATAATCCTTCTTGTAACTGAACTTCTTCAACTTGTTAGTGTTGAGCGCTGATGTGTTTGTATAGTCTCATCGTAAACTTCTATATCAGGTTCAGACACTTAAATCTTCAACTTCTGTCCTCAGTGGACTGTGTAAACAGCAAGCTTTGTGTTTCAGGGTGCCGTGTCTGGGTCAGTGCAAGCATCAGATAGGCTTATGAAAGAGCTCAGGGACATCTACAGATCGCAGAGCTACAAGACAGGTAAGGACTCTGGTCACCGCTGCTCTCCTCCCTCACAGAGTCCGCTCTCAGTAGAAAAGTGGAAGTGTTTGTTAACTTTATGTTAGTATGTAAAACTCCAGTTTAAGCAAGTTCCAAAAAACGTAGGCAGTAAAATGAGAAGTTTCTTTTGGTTTTAAACAGGAAATTGTTGACATAATTAATTATTTATTCACTTATTTTTTTACTTTTTCCTGATAGAGATTTAACTTCTGATTTTATCTCCTGGCAAAAGTATGAGCCGAATTGCTTGTGAGCTTTTTTTTAGAAACAGCACAATCAGCTCTTACAGTAGGGGTAGTTATGTGGTTACTATTAAAATAGATGGACTTTTTTCCTTTTTTGCTATTTCATAGTTTGACTTAGTAGTGTTTTCACTTTGGAATATTGTGGAACCTCTAGCTAGAGGTAAACTTTTCTTGTATTAGAGTATTAAATAAAGGAAAAGAATAAGCCTTACCTGAAAAAGATAGCATTATGATACAGTCATGAATTCTGAGTGGTCAAATAAAAATTACTAGAATTGCATAAAAACAAAAAACAGACAAACAAGAATCCTGCTTCATACTGTGTAGGAGAAACCAAACTTGTTTCTTTATTATTACAAGTTTGGGTGTCCCAACAGTTTTTCATGTAAGAAGTCTAAAAGTTTATCTGTAAAAACCTAAACAGTTAAATATTTGAATAGTTTTAAAAATTTTAAATGTTAAGTAATCATTTAATTGTTCCAGTATTATTTACATTGGCAAAAGATTAATAACTGTGTTTCAGGCAGAATTCAATAAATTATGCATATCCATAAAATAAATTTCTATGGGGTTATTTAAAAGATGGACAATAGATTCATATATACTATAAAGAGAATAACAAAAGACAACAGATGCCCCAGAAAGCTTAAGATATAAAACAATGTATGTAGAAGGATTCCATTTTTCAGAAATATTTCTATGTTTTTAGAAGAAAAGTCTTAGGTACAAATGATTTGCATAATTTGTTTTTTTCTCTCAAAGTTAATAGTAAGCAGTTTCTAAATTCATTAAAGAATTCTCTTGGGGAGGGGGGCACAAACAATGTATACACATGTGAGTAAATAAAAATGATAAAAAATAATAAATAATGAGAAAGTTGTAAGTTTGTATTATGTGAATTCTCATATTCGCCATTTACATTTTGTCAATGAATAGCTTAACCTCCCCCCCCCAAAAAAAAAAACTCGATGAGTTTTGTTTTTGTTGTTATTGGTACTGGAGTTTGAATCAGGACCTCACACTTGCTAAGCCTTGGCACTGTGCCACTTGAGCCACTCCACCAGCCCTTGATGGCTTTAATTATCTGTTAAGGTTGTAAGATACTCAGCTCTAGTGGTAAGTTATCTATAATGTAGCTTAGATGTTTCATTTTATTAATAGCAAAATTTCTACCTTTTGTTGGCTAGTATATGTAATTACATCAGAGTAACAGTTCTCAGACCAAATGAAGAGTAACCAACATGCCCTGCATCTTTACAGGGATTTATTCAGTGGAACTCATAAATGACAGTTTATACGACTGGCACGTTAAACTACAGAAGTAAGTGGCTTTTTGATAATGACCTACTCTGCAATGTTAGTCAATGAAGTGGGCTTTCCTCTTAATTTATACTGCGGTGTTTACTTAGACCTTTAGACCTTATTTCTATACAAAGAGTTCTCTGACTGTTAAAAGGAGCTGTTTCTGAGGCTTAATAGCCAAAGTGAGAAAGAAGAAACACAGCAGGACAAAGTGTTCCAGGGAGTTGGTGAGACAATGACAACTTAGAAACAAAAGTGTATTTAATAATCTCAGACAGTCAGTTTATGTTTGAAATACTGGATTTGGGCAGAATCTGTATTTATAGAACAGTTGTTGACAAGTTTAGGTTTTTAAAAAGACATTTTTGGCAGTCCTGGGGTCTGAATTTGGGACCTTGCTCTTCCTAGGCAGGTGCTCTACCACTTGAACCGCACCCCAGCCCTTTGTGCTTTAGAGTTTTTTTGTATAAGGTCTGTATTTATGCCCAGCTGGCCTGGACTAAGACCATGCTTTTCATGTTTCCTGCATAGCTGGGGTGACAGACACGTGCCATCATGCACAGCTTTTATTGGTTGGGGGGGTCTCTTGAACTCTTTGCCTGAGCTGGCCTTGAGCCGTGATCCTCCTGATCTCTGCCTCTTGAGTAGTGAGGATTGCAGACGTGAGCCACTGCACCCAGTTCCAAATGTAGATTTTTATAGTGATTTGCTTTTTCATGGTTTTGTCAGTGGCAAATAACCCCTTGAACCTCTGAACCCCTTGGCTAATAATTGTAACTTTAGGAAAGCATATTACGTGCTTTTGAGCTAAGAAAATTGTGTACATATATATGATTGAGTTTCTTTCAAATGACTGCTAACTTCAAATCCCCTTAAGAACAGGTTTAGAGTGGTGTGATTCCTTTCTGCGTATCTGTTTCCAAGGAGTGAGAGGCTTTACTGACCTGTTTTTCCTGGCACGGTATAGAGAACAGCTTTAGAGCTTCTCTGTCTGAAATGCAGCCTGTGGGATCTGTTGTAGCTTTTGGACTGGTTAATTTTTGAGTTTAGTGAGAAAAACTCTCTAACTTTGTTTTGTTATTCTTAGGGTTGACCCTGATAGTCCTTTGCACAGTGATCTTCAGATCCTAAAAGAAAAAGAAGGCATAGAATATATTTTGCTTAACTTCTCTTTTAAGGTAAGAAAATAGTAATGGAATTACTGTTTGTGCCAGTTGCTTTGGAAAACAACTTGGTAAAGCCGATACTCATACCCTACAGCTCAGGCATTCTCTAGGCGTGCTAAGAAAAAAGCACTTAGACACACCAGGAGACGGGTTCCCGGCAGTGTTCCCGGCAGCATTGTCTGACAGCTCCGGCGAGAAAATACCTCAAATCCCAATAAAATGGAGAACTGTTGCATCTATAAAATGGAATTCAGCTGTGTGCAAGAGCATGGGTGACTCTTACATACAATGTCGAACAAAAGAAACCAGACCCAAACCTGTTTTCTACAACTCCACTTACTGCAGTTCACAGATAGGCAAAGTGAGCGCTGTGCCAGGCGTCCATTCTTAGTGGACATGGGGTAAAATCAGCCCAGGAGTGTAAAGTTCTTAGGTACTACCATGGTTTGAGGCAGAGGAGGTGAAATTAAGAAAAAAGGCTTCTTAGATGTGGAACAATGAAAAGAAAGCTAAGAAACACTGAAGTAAGAATTCATACCTGGGCAGCAAAACTATCAAGACAAAGCCATGCTTACCGCACAAGTTAGAGGAAGGAGTCCATCCGGGAGTCCATCTGGGAGCTGGGAGCTGGGAGCTGAGACAGCCATCTGTATGCTTCGTGGCTATGGCTGCAAACGTTTTTTTTTTTTTAATTTAATAGTAAAGGAGTTTGAACTCAGGACCTCCCCCCCAAAGCTATTCTTGCTTTGGTTTATTTTCCAGATAGGGGTCTTGCATTTTTTGCCCAGGGCTGGCCTCTTGGACAATGATCCTCCTCCTTAGTCTCCAGTGGAGCTGAGATTATAGACTTGCACCACCGTGCCCAGCTTGTTTTTTGAGATAGCGTCTCCATAACATTTTGCCTGGATTGGCCTCCAACTATAATCCTCCTATAATCACCTCCTGCAGTAGCTGAGATTACAGCCCTGAGCTACCATACCTGGATATTACTTTCTTGAAATAGCCCAAAAGTCAGTATTTTCTTTTAGTTTTGTTATTGTTGACACTATATTATAGTTACTGAGATTTCTTCCTAGAACATGAATCTGGTATGGATTTATTCAAGTTGCTAAGAACTTCTCAATTTTACTGATTTATATGGGGGCGCTGTGGCAAAACAAACTGAAAAACCAATAAACAAAATATTGAAAAAAACTGTTGAAGTGTATGCTCATATGCCCAATGCCAAGCTTAAGTAGAGCCTCATCAGTGCCTTGAAACCCCCTGGGGCCCCTCCCTGTCACTTCCTCCTTGGGTTTTTAAAGAAATGCAAAACCTTGGCTGGGAGGATTTGTGACTGCAGATTGTGTTTTCGTTGTTTTTTTCCTGAGAACTTTGGGGAGGAGACGACCTGGCTGAGATTCTACTGGATTTGTGTTTCTGACACCAGAAAGAAGGGCATTTTGTAGGGTTGTATATTTCTTAAGAGGCCTGGGAAGTATGTGACTGTCCTGTGGTAACTGACTGTAAACTGTATTGCCAAGTTGTTAGTGTTGGGATTTGCAGCCTTTGCAGCATAGTAGGCATGACTCAGAAGGAGCCACAGGAAGGAAGGGGCCCTTCTGTGCACGTGTGGCCTCTGATGTCCACAGTGAGGGCTCGAGAGTCAGGCGTGATAAGACCTTGAGTAGAACACAACGGAGTGAGGTGACCTGTCAGCAGCTTGGCGAACCTGTGTGCTGAGTTCTAGGGAAGTGCTTTCTGACTTTGAGCACACATCTGAGTTGAGTGCAGAGCTTTATGTAGACAAACTTAGATTCATTTGGAGAAGAGATTCTGTTCCATGTCCGGAGATCCTGGGATAGCCAGTCAAATTGTGCATTTGGAGAGGAGAAGGAAGATTGGTGGTTTGTGGTAACTATTTGAAGTGCTAGGTATTGGGAGCAATAGTTTTATTTGTTTTTGATGAACAAGGGGCATACACCTAGAATAGTGAGACAAAATTGTAAGTGATTTATAACTGTTTTGTGCCATCTGGTGATACAGTCTTTCAAAAGTAGAATGTTTTCCACCTTAAGAATAGCTTAAGGTGTGTATGGTGGTTCACACCTGTAATTCCTGCTACTCAGGAAGCAGAGACAGGGGGATCCTCGTAATGAGACCCTATCTGAAAAGCAGACTAAAAGCAAAAAAGACTGAGGCATGGTTCAAGTGGTAGAGCAAGTCTCCAAGTTCAATTCTCAATAGTTAAAAAAAAAAACCCAAAACTAGAAGGCCAGGATCTCAAATTGGAAATCAGGTAACTTTATAAGGTCCTAGTAAAGCCGAGAGTCTATTTCTGAGTTTATGTACTAACTAAGGTTTAAACTCAAGCTTCCACTTAATAATCATCTCAACCTTTTTTGTTTGAAGAAACAAAACCTTTCTGTGTTTTGGCTGGAAAATGCTTTTATTTATTTATTTATTTATTTATTTATTATTTTGTTGGTTGCAGTAAGGTTTGAACTCAGGGCCTTGTGCTTGCTAGGCAGGTGCTCTACCACTTGAGCCACTCCACCAGCTGAAAAATTCCTGTGTGTTTCTGCAACATCTTGATTAGTCGAGTCTACAGTATAGCATTTATAGAGCAGGGTCCGGTCCCCCAGACCCTGATACAGAAAATTATTCTAAAGAACTTCTTAAAAATGATAATAGTTCTCAATTAAGAAGGTTTGTAGTCACTCATTTGGGAATCACAGATTTAAGGATATAAATAATAGAAGAGTCAATGAAGTTCTGCTTTTCATCCATGCCTTTCATTATGCTCTTAAATTATAGAGGGCAAACTGCTTTAGATTATACTGTCATTAAGTGGGTGTCTTCACTGTGTGGGTGGATTCCTTTTTCTGCCTTGGAGTAGAAAAGTGGAGATCCATTTTAGCCTGCTCGACAGGTGCTCTACCACTTGAGCCACTCCACCAGCTCAAGTTTTCCTCATCTTCCTCTCTTCCTGCATTTATTGTCTGATGATCTTGACCTTCCCCTGGTTCATGGGGATTGAACTGGAAAGGTGGTGGTGCCTGTTTCGCTAGGCAAGAGCTTTGCCACTTGGGCCATGGGCCCCAGTTCTTTCACTTTGTAGTCCTCTTATCTCTGCCTCCTGTGTTGCTGGGACCACAGGTGTATGCCTCCACACCTGCCTTGGTTTTTTTCTTTTCACTTGTTAGTGCATATTGCTTGTACAGTGTGAGGGCTTTCATTGTGATATTGCTACACTTGTATATATTTTGATCCTTGTCACCCTTTCTATTACTCTTTCATCCCCCCTCTCCCACCCCACCCCTTTAAAAAAATCTTTCTTGGAATTTAATAGGTTTCATTATGACTTTCAGGTCCTTATTCACTCTGTTTCCTCCCACCTCCCTCTGGTTCCTCTCCCCCAATAGTCCTCCATTTGTGCTCATGTCCGCATTTTTCTTTAGATCTAGCAATGTCTGTCTTCCTGAGTCTGGTGTAATTTAGCAGGATGATCTTCATTTACATCTGTTTTCCTGTAAATGACACAATTTTATTCTTTATGATTGAATAATAGTCCATACTTGCTTGTTTTTGAGGTAGGGTCTCGCTAACTTTTGCCCAGGCTCGCCTCAAACTGCAGTCCTCTTGTTTCCACTGCGGAGTAGCTGTCATCTTTGACTTTCAATTAGAGCAATTAGCCCATTATAGTTCATGTTACTGCTGATATTTGGGTTTTCGATGTATCCACATTATAGGTGATTTTCTATTTATATTTCTTGCTCTATGCTCCTTTTTCTGTTTTTTGGGTTTTTTTTTTTTTTTTCTTTTATTCCCTTTCCCACCTCTGTTAGCGTGGTATTCTTGTTCTCTTACTTTTCCATCCTACCCTACAATTACAGTATATATCCTTGACTTGTCAAAATCAATATAAACTCATCAGTTTAGTTTACCTTGTCAGTTTTTTTTTTTTAATACTTACACACAACAGAAATTTATTTATTTATTTATTTATTGCAGTACTGGGCTTTGAACTCAGGACCTCACAATTGGTAGGCAGCTGCTCTATCACTTGAGCCACTCCACCAGCCCTACCTTGTCAGTTTAGGACCTCAGTACTCTGAGTTTGTGTTCTCCCTCCCAGGTGTGCTGCTGTTGTCACGTGTTTATGTTCTGCACTTAGCTCAATACTTCTTAAGTGATCAGTACTCACTATGACCTACCTTAGTATTCTCTATTTTCATGTTTCTTCTTCCTTGCTTTTGTGTTGGATTGTCTTTGTCTTATCTGAAAATACTCCCCCCCCATCCCCCTCAGTACTGGGGTTTGAATTCAGGGCCTTGTGCATACTCTACAAGATGAGCTGCAGCACCAGCCCAAAAATCTTCCTGAGTATTGTTTTTAGTGTGGGTCTGCAGAAAGGAAAGTGTCTTATTTTATTGCCACCGTCCCCCTTTTCTCTTTGATACAGGGTCCAGTTCTGTAGGCCAGACTAGCTACAGAAACTCATGCTCCTCCTGCCTCTACCTCCCGAGTTCTGGGATTACAGGTCTGAACCACCTGGCCTGCCTTTGTTTGCAATTTTGAAGAATGTTGCATTGAGTGTAGATTTCTACACAGACAGTTCCTTTCTCAGACATTGAAGATTACATCGTCTTTATTATAGCTCCTAGGCTGACGTGCTTTTGTAAGAGCTAAATCTCTCAAAGTCTTTGAAAAATTCCCATCTAGGTCTTTGTCCCATTCTCTCTTCTAGGACTCAGTGTGTGTGCGTAAATGAGTAGAGTACCTTTTTCAGTACATTACCTTGCAACTTGTTACTTTCTGTAACAGGGGTTAGGGAGACACCTAACCCTCTTCTGCCTTTTCTACCTCTTCTACCTTTTTGTCTCCTAGCTTCATTCCAGATGTTTCTGATCTACTTTCCAGTTTACTGAGTCTTTTCTCCTAAGTTTCATCCATTTAACTTGTTAATTTCAGTTATCTCTAAATCTCAGAATTTCCATATGGTTCACTTTTATAATCTATAGTTCTCTGCCAGGTTTTCTCATCTTTTCTTTCCTTGCAAAACTCAGCAGTTGTTTTAAAATGTGTCTGCTAGCTCCTCACTTGGTCTCTTGGTGCTTTTGTCTATTGTTTGCCTCTTTCTGATTGTGTCACTGGTTATTTTTAGTACAGATATCATGTATGAAAAATCGCAGAGAAAATTTAAAGCCTTGGATGACATTCCTCTCCACAGGGGTTTCCATTTGCCCGTCAGGGACCTGGCCAGCAGCAACCCAGGCTGGCCTAATTGCATCAGGGGTTGAGGTCATTGGAAGTTTGGACTGGGTTCCCTGTCACTCCCGATACTTTGCAGTCTGTCCTGCAGGTCCCAACTTAAGGTTGCCTCTCCTGTGGACTCTGAACTCCAGTTTTTGTCTCCCTAACCCTGAGTCTGAGTTCTATTCAGTCTGGTAGGCTCTTACCATTCTCTTCTATATTAGAGGAAAATCCAAGGGAAACAAGGCCCAGTCGTCCAGTGGCTTTTAGCTCTGTAATTGTTACATTTTATTTGCCAGAAGATTGATGTTAAATTACCTAGGGAATAATTATTGAAGGATTGCTTACATAGTTTCATTACAAGTAAAGCCACTGGAATATATTCACAAGTTTACCAAAACATTGTTCTGTTTGGGCCTGATCCTCATTTGTATTTGCTTTGGTTTTTGTTTCATCTTATTTTTTGGTACTAATTTTACTTTCATGATCCCTCATTATCAGATAATAAATAATAATACAGTCCTCATAGATTATTTTAAAATACTCTAAATAATGTAATATTAAGATGTTCTTACAATTAATTAAACGTATGATTTTTTAGGATAACTTTCCATTTGATCCTCCATTTGTTCGAGTGGTGTTACCTGTTCTCTCAGGAGGGTAAGTTTAAAATGACTACTTTTGGTTTTTTTGATACTGTGCCTCAGAATCATTTGGAGAGCTAGTTAATGCTAAAAGGGCTGATTGCTAGAACTCTATCCCAGATTTCTACCCCAGGTCCAGGTGGGCCTAAGGTGTTCTCAAAGGAAGCTGGTGCTGCTGGTTTGGGGCCCATATTCAGAACCCTTGGCACAAATCGTTAAGTTGTTGATAGGTAGTTTTTAATGGTTCCTATTTATATATATTTGTCTTTAAAAACCTGAGTGTTTAGTAGGGAGTGTTGGTGCACAACTGTAATCCCAGCACTTGGGAGACAGAGGCATTGAGGATCGTGAGTTGGAGACCAGCCTGGGTTATATATGTAGCAAAATTCTGTCTCCAAAAACAAAGAAAAGTTTTTCAAATATGAATTGTGATTGAGTATTTCAAAAGGGACTCCCACATGCCGGTGGTGTTAGTAGTCACAGGAAGTCCCATGAGCCTGTGGAGCTGGCTGTTCGTTCTGAAGTAGTAATTGTAGTTTGGTAAATCAAGTGCCATATAGCTCCACTAATTTTTTTCTTGTTTGTTTTTTGGTACTGGGGTTTGAACTCAGGGCCTCGTGCTTGCTATCCAGGCGCTCTACCACTTGAGCCACTCCACCAGCCCTGTACTGAATTTTGTATTGCTGCTGCTTTTTTGTGATAGAAGTATTATGGAGGATGTGGAAAGATCATGTTAGTTAGAAAATGTTATGTAGACTCCAAAATAGGAGCAATAAAAATGATTTGAGTCTACCTTGTGAGATAATCTATATTATAGTGATTAAAAATCTAAACATAGCCAGTCCTTAAATTAGATCATTTCTGTGTTTGAGATAGTAACAGTTACATTTAGGTTAAAAGACTTCAGATCTTTCTCAGAAGTGGTCTGCTTAGTTTTTAGTTCTTTGCTTTTCATGCGTGCTTCTGTGTTTTGGAGGGTCAAATTCTGTTAAGAACTGTTTCTCAGTGTAGTCAGAATATGTGTTAATTGGTGTGGATAGTGTAGAACAGTCACTAGATGTGTCTGTAATGCTCAGGTAAACAAAAGTGTGTGGCTCTTCTTTATAAGTCCGTGTTTATGGATTCACTCAGCTCATTCTGATATCTACAGCAGTCAAATAAGAGTTCATTTAGGCAGGTGCCAGTGGCTCACACTTTTAATCCTAGCTACTCAGGAGGCAGAGATCAGGAGGATCAAGGTTCAAAGCCAGCCTGGGCAAACAGTTGGTGAGAGACCCTATTTTGAAAATACACAACACAAAAAAAGGACTGGTGGAGTGCTTCAAGTGGTAAAGCACCTGCCTAGAAAGTGTGAGGCCCTGAGTTTGAACCCCAGTACGGCCAAAAAAAAAAAAAAAAAGGAGCCAATACCTGCAGTCTAATCCTTTGTCATATCTCCCAGAATGTTCTGTGAGCACTCGTACATGGTGTATTAATAGGTATTTGTTTGGAAAGGGTTCGGGGAGACCAGGCTCACAATATTCTTTCCCAAGGGACTTCTTGACACCTTAATGTGACTTTCCTAGAAGAAACTAAATGGCTTTTCCCAAATCTACTTAATAATTCTTTTCCTCTATGGCACCTAAGGATGGTGTCCTCTTTGCCCTTTGGGAAATGCAGCTCTGTTAGAAATTCACAGTTCCAAGTGACTTCCAGGTGTTTCCTGCCACAGACCAAGAAAAGCTGAAGAACCACAGGGAGGTCGGTTCTTTCTGTTTTTGGCAGTACTAGGGTTTGAACTCAGGGCCTCGAACTTGCTAGGTAGGTGTTACTCTGCCAGCTTGGGAGGCTGGTTCTTTTTGACAAGCTGCTCCACTGTTATGATGTGTGGAGGTCACAGGTTAATTGAACAAAGATGCTTAGGATTGTGTAAAGTTGCATTTTGTTACTTTAAAGCTCCCCTAGATTGTTTTGGATTAGGAAATAAAAGTGTTTTTCCTGCCATAAAGCCTTACAATCGATTTTAGAAGCAGAATATTAGGTAACCCAGCCAGATATTTACATATACAAGATGAACATAGGATAGAAAAATGATGAATTTCCACTTTTGTGTCCATGCTCACACCTCCAACCCTTTTCTAGCCAAGATGTTGTTTTTCAGAGCTCAGATAGTGCTGACATAGCAAGCTGTACTTGCACGGCATCATGGGTTGGGTTTTCTTTCCTCTGGTGAACAAACTTGACTATGGCTACTGGATTCCTCTATTGTTAACTGCTTCAGGAAGAGGGAAGGAATAATAGTAAAGAAAATGCTTTTGAAAGTTGAATCTCCTGACAGTGGATGAGGCCCCAAGACAAACTGTGTGTACAAAGGCTGGTGGGAGGATGTGACACTAGTTGAAAGCCCAGGCTGCTGTGTCAGAGAGAAGTGATCAGAGCTTAAATGGCACAGTAATAAGGCAATGGAAAGAGGCAGAATCGAAACCACTCAGTTTTCATAGGCAACTTGTAAGCAAAGAGGAGGAATTCCTGGCTGATTGAAGCCAAGCTAAAAATTTGAAATATTGAGAAAACACAGAATTTGCAGTCAAAGTCAGGGTAAAGCCTAAACACTGTGTGATTCTGGGTAGATTACTGAACAGTTTTTATTCCATATGTTTATATCTTGCATCCTCTGTCTACTACCCTATTTCTCTAGTTCCTGTCATAGTCAGACTTTTTAATAAAATAATGGTTTCATTGTGAATGCAATTCACATATCTGAAAACTCATTCTCTGCAAGTATGCAATTCAGTGGTTTTTGTATATTCGAGTTGTACAACAAGTATACCATCTAACTTCAGATCATTTTCATCAACCGAAAAAGAAACCTGTACCCATTAGCGGTCACTCCCATGCCCTCTCTTTCCACCACTGACCCTGGTAACCGATGATCTACATTGTTTCTGTAGGTATGTTTGTCCTGGACATTTCATTAAATAGAATCATACAAAATGTGGCCTCTTGTGACTGGATTCTTTGAAAATAATTAGAAGTTGAATGCCTGAAGAGGTTAGCTTAGGATAGTATTTGCTACAAAACTTGAGCAACTGAAAATACTATTTTGCCCAAGTATGTGCCTTTTTTCAGATGTCCTTAAACTATCTCAGTATTAAGCAGGACCCCTTGTTTGCTCAGGACAGTAAGAGTTTGGAACACATAATGATAAAATATAATCAAATACAAAAATAGAATTTACCAGTTCTCGTAGGTATAAATATAGCTGGTAATGTCCAGTAAGGAAACTTTTCCTTCTGTCACTTCTGTCCTGTGCTTAGGCATCCAGCAAACCTTTGTGTTGCTGTCGTGCACTTGTACAAAAGCACTCTTTGTGGTCTACAGATGGGTCACATGACGTGACTCTGTACCCCTCAAAGGAAGAGTGGGCACTAAGAGGAAAGGTGGAGGTTGGCTAATGGCACCCATACCTCCTTGCCCTAAAACAGGTTTCTATCTGTGCATTTCTAATGTAGACATCAAAGATGATGTGAGCTCATTAGCAGATGAACTGAGGTTTTCAAATTCTTCTAAATCAGCAAGTGTGCATTATGTACAAGATCTTTACTTTTTTATTCTCTTTTCTTTTGGCCGTACTGGGTTTGAATTCAGGGCCTCCTTTTTACTAGGCAGAGTCTCTACCACTTGAGTCCTGCCCCCAACCTCTTCTTGCTTTAGTTATTTATTGGGTAGCGTCTTGCACTTTTGCCTGGGGTCTGTCTTGTACTGATCTCCTACCCACAGAGATGGGATGGCTGCCCACAAAGGTGGGATAACTGACATGACCCGCCATGCCTGGGCTTGTTGGTGGAGATGGTGTCTCATTAACTGTTTTGTTTAGGCTGGCCTGGAAACACGGTTCTCCTGACCTCTGCCTCCTGAGTAGCTGGGATTATAGCCGTGAGCTACATGCCGTCTTAGCTCAGTGGGAAATACAGAGAATTGGGGAGTTTATGTTTTAGGAAAACAAGAATAGACAGTATTTTTTTTTGAATCCTATGATTCTCCGCCCAAGTTTTAATTTTAATTTTTTTTATTGCAGTATTAGGATTTGAAACTCAAGGTCTTATGCTTGCTAGGCAGGCACTCTACCACTTGAGCCACTCCACCACCCCTGTTTTGTGTTGGGTATTTTTAAGGTAGGATCTGGTGAAGTATTTGCCCAGACTGGCCTCAAACTATGATCCTCCTGATCCCTACTTCCTGAGAAGCTAGGATTACAGGTGTGAGCCACCAGCACCAGGCCCGAATTTAATTTTTTGGAGTACTTTTCTTTCAGATACTCTTTTCCTCCCATTAAACTTTAACCTTGAAAGGTCCCAGGCTTGGAAGAATAGGAGAAATACCTGCCTGAATTCTTTAGCATAGGAGAGCTGCAGATACTTTTCCCCATCTTATTATTAAATGAACAGCTGCTGGCAATGTTCATGGTCGGCAATAGAACTTTCTAGTCTCCCTACCTACTTCTCCACAGTCAGGTGGTTAGTCAAGATGGCAGATTTCAGGTGAGTTGGGAAACATGGCAGTGGAAGAAGGCACCGGCAAAGGAAAGGCAAAAGACACAGGGGAAGCCCTGCCAGAGGACAAAGTGGTTTGTGGTAGGCGCAGTTCAAAGACTGGGTCAGTGGTCTTGGGTATTTTCAAGACCAAAATTACAATTCCCTTGATTATTGTTTTTAGGCATGATGTTTAATATATTTTGAAGTTTAATGTAACATTAAGGGAGGAAAGAAGTTATTTTGTTTGAGAAAGGGTGAAAAGGTTGAATCTTGATCTTAATAATTTCTTACAGGGAAATAGATTTCAGAGAGTCCCAGAAATTCTTTGGTTCAGAGAATGGTTCTCAGGCCTAGGAAGCAAGCCTGTTGTGGAGATGGGCTCCATGGTCAGAACCATTTGAGTCTCACAACAGAATCACTAAAACCACATAAGCCATGAGATGCCATGCAGCTGTCCCCTTTAGGGCTGGGTAAAGTCAGTGCCTTTGTGAGAGGCACAACTCTCTGCCTTGTGACTTAAGTGATGGAGGAGTTCTAGGTGCAAGAACACTCAGACATCAGTTAAGGAAACTGATTCTCCCATTGTGGAATGATGAAGGCTGAAAGTATTCTGTTAGTCAGAACCATTATTTTTTAAATCATCCGCAGTGTTGTGTTCTCAACAACTGTCTTCATTTGTGTTATCTTTTAATGTCGTGTGCATACTTTCTTAGTGATGATACTTTAAATCGATTCAGAAGGAATTTTGAGATGTAGAGAATTCTGTGATTCCTTTTTTTAAGGTATGTGTTGGGTGGAGGAGCATTATGTATGGAACTTCTCACAAAACAGGTAACTATTTTCTTGTGGTACTCGATTCTCAGCCGCAAATATTTTAATATGTAAATTAGGTTCTAAGTAGAAAAGTTCTTATGTGTAGCAGCTTATGCCTTACTTTTTTTGTTTTAATAGCACCTACTTTTCATAATGAAAAAGCTACTTAAAGTAAACCAGTAAAATAACATTGTATGAGGTGCTGAATCCATGCTAGAGTAACACTGAGAATGGTGTTCATTTAAGGCTACAATTTGCTCTATATGCACGTGGACAGAGGAGTGTTTTGGTTTTGTGGGATTCTGGATGTGGTGTGTTTACCCTTCCACCATGAACTTGTTGACACCAATTGGCTGTTGTGTCCCACACACCATTTTGTTAGTGCTTCTGAGTGGGGATGTGAGAATACCACTGTGTTTCAGAGACATTTTCTTCTTTCTGTAGGGCTGGAGCAGTGCCTACTCAATAGAGTCAGTCATCATGCAAATAAATGCCACCCTAGTCAAAGGCAAAGCCAGAGTGCAGTTTGGAGCAAATAAGGTACTTTTGTGAAGCATTTGACATAAATTCCAAGACACATTCCACATTGCATTGTGTATACAAAGCTTCTTCCTGTCTTAATTCTTTTTGATACAATTTATTTCTTTTTCATTTGAATTTTTTTTTTGTATTGGGGTTTGAACTCTGGACCTCATGCTTGCTTGGCAGCTGCTTTACTACTTGAGCCAGTCCACCAGTCCTCTTTTGTGTTGGGTGTTCTTGAGATAGCATCTCATGAACTGTTTGCTCAGGCTGGCTTTGAACTGTGAGTCTCCTGATCTTTGCCTCCTGAGTAGCTGGGATTATAGGTGTGAGCCACTGACCATGGGGTTAGGTTTGTTTTCCTATTAGAAAAGTAAGCTATAGAAAACACAGAAGCTTAAGAAAATTAAGATATTCAATAATCAGTTATTTAGTATCTGTTCTTTTAATCTGTTATGTTTTGGGATAATACTTTTAACTGTTCTAGAGTTGTGCTTTACACTGGAACAGGTTACTAGTTTGTATAAAACTCAAGGGAAACTCCCACTAGTGTTCACTAATCATGTTTAACTAGCATGTCCTGATGGTAGATGCACTTACATTGTTACTGTTCAAGTGTGACTAGAGAACAACTTAAGTAGCAGAACCTAAAGTTGGTTTTTTTTTTTCTTTCTTTTTTTTTTTGATGGTATTGGGGTTTGAACTTGGGGCTCTGGTGCTTCATAGGCAAGAGCTCTAACTACTTGAGTCATGGCCACCCATCCTTGTTTGCCTTAGTTATTTTTCAGATAGTCTTCTAGATTTGCCCTGGCTGGCCTCAGACCACCATCCTCTTATTTTGGGCCTCCCGCCTAGCTGGAATCAACAGGCATGTACCACCACACCCAACTTGTTGGTTGAAATGGGGTCTTGCTAGTTTTTTGCCAAGGCTGGCCCAAACTGTGATCCTCCCAATCTCTACCTCCCAAGTATCTGGGATTACAGGTATAAACTACTGTATCTGGCCTTTCTTAAAAAGATTTCTTGAGACAGGATCTTGCTCTGTAGCCAAGGCTGGCCTCAAACTCAATATCCTCTGCCTCCACTTCCTGAGTGCTGAGATTATAGGCGTGCATCACCACAACCAGCTATTTTTAATTTTTTTATTATAAAATATATGTTTCCTAAATGCAGAGCTTCTAAAGTAGGTAAACAAAGGTGTTTATAATTTGAGTATCTAGGAATACACCCCATTGCTAATAGTATTTCTAGTCTTTCCAATATCTTCTTCCTAATATCTACTTATATATAAAACTTGATGTTAATTTTTAACTATTAAAAAACAGCATTCTTTTCTTTTAAGAGAGAAAATATGAAGGACTTAGACCAGTGAGCTTTTTAAATAATTGAAATTTTGCCAGGACATTGTGCAAACTTACTTTCTGGGCTTCTAAATGTGTATCTGAAATACAGTTAGACATTGTTGTTAACATACTTCACGCAAATAGTTCATGCACTGCTTACAGATGGAGTGCTTTCTGTAAATGCACATAGTTAGAAAGTTTTGTTGTTAGCAAACATAGAGTGTGCTTACAGTTAACTAAGACGGCTGTGATGACTCTAATCGATGGAATCTTTTGGGACACCATCCTGTGTGCTGACTGCAGTATTGTGATGGGGGTACATGACTGTATGTCTTAGACGGTGAATATAGTGACTCATTAGCATGGCACCTCACTCTTCCCTTTTTTTTCTCTGTATTAAGAAATATTTTGTCAGCCAGGAAAGTAGATATGTTGCATCTGAGCCTCGCCTTATTGGATTCTAAACTGCAGGGAATATGGTCTCAATGTTAACTTTAGGAATGCTCAGAAAAACCCAAAGAGCTCCTGGCACTAGCAGCTTACACCCCTAAATCCTACTCATGGGGCAGTGGATCAAGGCCAGCCCAAGCAAAAATTCACAAGACCCTATCTCAACACAAAACCCTATCTCAAACACCCAACACAAAACAGGGCTGGTGGAGTGGCTGAAGTGGTAGAGCGCCTGCCTAGCAAGTGTGAGGCCCTGAGTTCAAACCCCAGTACTGCCAAAACAAAACAAAACAAAAAAAACCTCAACCAAACCAAAAAAAACAAAACCTAAAAAACTAAATGGTGTTAAAGGGTGTGTGTGTATGTGAGAGAGAGAGAGAAAGAGAGAAGGAGGGAGAGGGAGGGAGGGAGATGGGGGTATATTATATAGCATATTATTATATGCTTAGTTATATAAGCATAGAATATCTCTGGAAGCGTATTCAAGAAGTCATGAATTGTTTAGCTGCTTCAGCCCCTTCCCTCCCCGCCCCGCCACACACCAAGCTAGAATGACCACTTCCTTTGGCTGTGAGGTTGTTAAAGGAAGTGCTCCTAATTTCCTCACTAGTTACAGTCCTCCAAGGAACCAAAATGCATCTTAATCTAGTTCCGTTTTCTTTTGGAATGATTGATAAAACTGGAGATAATGATTTCCAATTTGCTTTTTAAGGTTCTTATTTTCTCTTAAATACGTATCACTTTAGGTTTGAGGTATGTATTTGAGCCTGATATAAGCGCTTTTGAAATACTAGAGAGGACTTCAAATTGTTTTGTGCTCTTTGAATTTCATTTTGCTGGACACTGTCCACTATTGGTTCAAAGTAAGTGAATGAGTTTGCTCCTGAAAATCTGAATATAATGATGTAAGTGAACATAAGTACTGGAAAACAGAAGATTCTGTGTTTTTTTACCAAAAGAGGGTTATCCTTTAGTGATGGCTTGATGCCATTTGTGGGTATTCTTTAGATTTCTAACTCAAATACCATTCACATACTATCGTGCTTGAAGTTTAGTGTTTTCTTATCTGAAAGTTAATATTTTTTAGTACATCTTCTTGAATATACGCTAATGAGGAAGAGTTGGGTTTAACTCATGTCTAAATAAGTACACTTTAACTTGCTCCATCTGTAAGAAGATGGCTCGGGAACTATAAAGTTTGTACTTGTCCAATGGTAGGAAGACTTGTAAAGATGAACGATGAAGCATGTAGATTTTTATTGAAGTACACTCTTGCTTTTGTTATTCTTATAAAATTGGGGAGAAAAATGAAATGAGAAATGAGGGTATTAGATTAGAACTGTTTCAGAAGTGGAAATCGTTTTCTGTGTTCTTTTAAGCACAGCTGTGATGCATCCATAAATTTATAGTAACAATTTTTATCTACTTACAGTTTTTTTCAAAGTGTGTAATTCTCTTTCAGAATCAATATAATCTAGCAAGAGCCCAGCAGTCCTATAATTCCATTGTACAGATACATGAAAAAAATGGTATGTCTAATTCACTATTTGTCATTTATGAAGTTTGATGTTTACATACTGATATTTATCCTGGTTTCTTTTTCATTGCTTTAATTTGTTATCAGGTACTGTTACCACAGTGAAAGAAACTTGAACGCGTGCTGTATTCAGAATCTTGGAATGAATCTGTAACTCTGTGCTGCTTTCAAATCTTTGTGCTCTGAACTCTTGGCCTGGGTACCTTGATTCAGAGTCAAGGTTTTGCTCACTTGAAATATTTTCTGTTAGAATAAGAATTGCGTTAAAGACAATTCTTTCTAGTGTTGTAGGCTTTTTTGTCTTTTGTTTGTTTTTGAAACAGTATACCCCAGGCTGACCTTGATTTCATGATCCTCCTGCTTCAGCTTTCTGAGTGCTGGAACTACAGACATGCCCCACCATACCTGGCTATAAAGACAACTCTTTACAAATTTGAGTTCTTATTTGAATTGAGTAAATGCAGTATGCTCACGACCAGTTATGTCTGAATTGTCTTCAGATTACCAAGTGCTTTTGACAGTTTTATGATATGTATGTAAGAAAGGATAGTTCTCATTTCAGTATTACTTACAAGTGCATCTTTTCCCTGCGACACTGGGGTTTGAACCTAGGTCCTCACATTTGCTAGGCAAGTGCTCTACCAGTTGAGCCACTCTATCAGCTCTTTGGTGTGTTGTATGTTTGTTTTATGTGTATAATTTTTATTTTTCAGGTAGGGTCTCGCTTTTTGTCCGGGCTGTCCTTGAACTATTGTCCTCCTGATCTCTTCCTCCTGAGTAGCTAGGATTACAGGCATGAGCCACCAGCACCTGGCCTCTTTCTCCTACTTTTATCTTAAACATTACAACTGGCATTCAAAAGTGTTTACAGAAAAGCTGGGCATGGGTGGTTCTTGCCTGTAATCCTACCTACTTGGAAGGCTGAGATTGGGAGGATTGTGGTTCGAGGCCAGCTCAGTCAAATAGTTTGTGAGACCTCATCTCCAAAATAACCTGAGTCCCCCCACCCTCAAAAAAAAATGTTTACAGAAGATGCTTCCTTTGAGAGAGTGGGGGTATGCATAAGCTTAGCAGTGATAAATGAACAATCAATTCAGAATCAGAAGAGATGGATTCTAGTTTTTTTTTTTAATTTGTGTTCTTCATTAAAAGGTTTACATTAACAGAGAAAACTGTATGCACTATCATGTGTAGCTTGTTTTGACCTACGTGTATGTTATAGAGTAATTAAATCTAATTAACATGTACTACCTCACAGAGCTATCATTTTCATGGTGAGGACACTTTATCTCCTCCAAAAATCCAAGGTCCTCCTCCTCTAAAATGCTAGGATATTGTTTGAAATGTGGTTTCAAATGCAAAACTGAAATAGAAATCTAACACATAACCTAATATTCCACACTGTCATCTTTATTTTTATTTATTTATGTATTTATTTATTTATTATTGTTTTATTCATATGTGCATACAAGGCTTGGGTCATTTCTACCCCCTGTCCCCACCCCCTCCCTTACCACCCACTCCGCCCCCTCCCTCTCCTCCCCACCCCCTCAATACCCAGCAGAAACTATTTTGCCCTTATCTCTAATTTCACACTGTCATCTTTAACTAGGAGTGCCATTAATACAGAGGTCTTATGTTGAAAACTTAAATGCAGTTTGTTCATAGAAAGAAACTTTATATTGTGAACATACCCAGATGCTGTGCTAGCAATCTAAGTATAAGTTTAATTTTTCATAGAATTGAACAGAAAATTTTCTAGTAGAGACTGTACCTGATGTTAATAAGTGCCAGCTCTCCTCACTGGTTTAGGGATTGCAGTATTTTAACTTCTTTCCATTCTGTTACAGGCTGGTACACTCCTCCAAAGGAAGACGGCTAAACGTGTTGACTGTAATATTTGGACCAATGTTGCTTTAAAGAAAATCTTTCAACATGCAGACACAAGCCTTGAGTGCCCTATGACAGCAGTACCGAAGATGCTAGCTCATACATTTAGTGGATACTGTGCCAACTGACATCCAGTATAACTTACAGTCTTCTCATTTTGCTCTCTTTAGGTATCCTGGACTGAGCAGTGAGGCCTTTATTGTATTTTTTCTGATAAATACACATACTGGCCACTCCTTATCATCTCTTTCTTGAAAAGTGAAATCTTTTAAGCAAGCAAGTCAGCGTCAGGTTGTTACTGTGTGACTTTACAGTGACTTTCCTATATTGAATTTATGGGTTCTGAAAGTTTGCAAAATATTGTTCCATTTAGAGCCAATAAAAGTTTAAATGATGTTCAGTACTGGTTTAGAAAATTTTAGATCTTCTAAACCACAGCCTTTTCAGGTCTAAAAACGTTTTATTGCCAAATAATGACAGGAACCTATTCATTAAATTGTTAAACTGTTTTTTTGACTGTGTAAAGATGTGAACTGTATCTTGAAAACATGCTCTTAATTGAGTTGTACTGTTCGTAGGCAAAGCAAGGCAAGGCACTGCCACTTATGGCTTGTGAGTTGTGATTTCTACTGGGCAGCAGAATCTTGCTGGGCTGAATCAGCTTCTTGTTGGTTCAGTATTTCCTTTGAAGAAGAACTTGAAGTTATTTAAAATACTAAGTCATTTTACCTTTACATTTTATTAACGGGAGGTTGCAATTATTTGTAAACTAATAAACTTATAAAGTGATTGGCCTGAAGACAGATTTCTTGAGCAAAACCTACATGGTTAAGTACAACAAGAATACCCAGTTTGGATACTTTTATTTTGCTATAGTCCTAACAGTGGTTTTACAGGCAGAGACTAATAGGAACTCTAATATGTTAATTTTTTTATAAAACATGACACAAATCAATGTATTTCCAATTTTATTGCCTTACCTGAATCACTCCTCTTTGGTTGGTAATAGATTTTCTTTTATAAACCTGTTTGATTTAAAAATGAAGTGTAATTATTAAGCACTTTTCAAAAAAAAAAACCCAGAAGCACATTTTCCTGCACAAACCTCTTACAGAGTTCCAAAGTGTTTCTTCTGCAGTTGCTGTAAGACTTGCTCAACTTTGTAAAACATACCCAAGAGACTTGGCACCTCCCCATTACTGTGCGCTTCATTTCTTTTGTTTTGGTTAAAAGGACAGTAGATAGAGATTTTTCTGGCATTCTTGCTCATTTGGTCACATTTAGCTAGAGTTCTGATTTTGCCATTTCTCTGACAACATGTGACAAGGCAGAATTTTTTTAAAGCATTAAAATTCCTTAAGCCTAAGGCTAAATCTTGAATATATTACTGAATTCTTTATCCTGGTGGCTAGCAAATTGATAGCTACACATTTGGCATGCTTTGTTTTTTGGATTTTATTTTTCATTGCAGATTTGTTTGGCAATGTATAGTAAATTTTGTAAACTTGCATCAAGTTTATGAATAAAGAACCATTTAAAAATTACTTTGTTACCTTTCCCTCACAAGAGATACTATGCTTCAGATGTCTGTAGGCTCTGTTGAATTTCTGGAGTAGGTTATTTAAAGAAGGGTGGGATGTTGGAAGGCTTGAGAGGAAGAGAGGCAGATTTATTAAATAAGAAAAAATTAGAGAATCAAGAAATCGTGTGTATATGCCTCGTATACTTAGCTTTTCCCCAACCTTTTCTCTCATCCACACTCATTCTCTAGTATGAATCCAAGTGCCATTTCTTCATGGCTGTCCCTAACTTTTCCCCAATTACAACAGTCTCCCTCTTTTGTATATTCATGGTCTCCCTGTGTACAGTTGTCAGGTGATCTCACAAGACGTTCAGAGGTGGTACAACTCCAGGCCCAATACCTCTGGGTAATACTCTGCTTCTTTGCAATTCTTCCATGGCAGTGTCATCTTTGGATTAAATGTTGTGTCTAGACCTGTGTGACCAGCTTCCTTGGTCCAGTAGCAGATGATGGTCCTGTCTCTGGAGTCTCCTTACAAGAAAATGGTGCTGCCCTCGGTTTTCCTAGTGCCCCCCGCCCTCGAAGTATGATTTGGGAATACTGGAGACCCCCCGAGGCCCTTCCAGGAAGTTTTTAATGTCAAAACTGTGTTCATAACACTAAAGTGTTCACCATTTTCATAGTGTTCTTAGTGTAAAGTGGAGTTTTCCAGCCATGACATGACATTTGATACAGCAACAGACTGAATTTAGAAATAGCTCTAAGAATCCAGCTGTTTCTCGTTAAACCGTAAATTAGATTTTCAAAGTGTAAAATGATATCACACTTTATTATTAGAGGAAGGTAGATTTGGGGAGTTACTTAAGGGCTAATTTGTTAATGTACATGGAATTATTTTAAAGTAAAAAAATTTTTATTGGTACTAGGGTTTGAATTCATGGCCTTTTGTTTGCTAGACAGGCACTCTACCATTGAGCCACACCCCAAACAAAAATTTGAGACAAGTTCTTGCAGCATAGACCAGGCTGGTCTAGAGCTTACAGTCCTTCTCAGCTGAGATTGCAAACGTGCCACCACACCTGGCTTAAAATGTTTTAACATGGTAAATATTACGACACCACAAACTCTGGTGTCAATATGTAAGAGTGTTAAGGATTGTGAAGCCAAAACGAAAACTACCAGTTTAGACCAAGATTACTCTGGAGAGCTGGGGATGAAATCAGGGGCCCCTTAGCCAGGAATCGGCTGGAATAAAGGGTACGGGGTGGTGGTGCATCTACTGTGCTCCCGTTCCTGTATATTTGTGCTCGACTTGAGCGTGCACCAGAACTATGGGGGAAGTTTGTGAAAACAGACTGCTGGGTCTCCCCCACTCTGATTCATTAAGCCCAGAATAAAGGTGAAACCTATGGCAAAACTTAATGGTTCCTAGGTGGATGTGATGATATTGGTTGGAAGCTGGTGCAGGGTTTGTGACCAAAAGTCCTAGACCAGAGACCCAACTTTTGAGGTTACAACTTGGCAGGTTTGACCACTTGCCCCATGCCTTTTTTGGGGGGAGTGGAGTAGGACTGGGGTTTGAACTCAGGGCTTTGCATTTGCAAAGCTCATGCTCTTAACATTTGAGCCACACCTCTAGTCCATTTTGTTCTGGTTATTTTGGAGATGGGATTCTTGCAAACCATTTGCCCAGGCTAGCTTTGAACCTCAATCCTCCCCAATCTCAGCCTTCCAAGTAGCTAGGATTACAGGCATGAGCCACCGGCTTCCGACCTAATACGCCAATCAAAGAGATAAGTAAATTAATGTACAACCTGAAAGAGGACGCTATCTTTGTGGTACAAGTAAGAATTTTAGGTTTAAATGCAGGAAGAATTGGTCCATCCCTGTTATTTTAGTACCAGAATCCAAGGTGACTGCAGGAGAGAATGGCTCAGAGAAAAGGAGACAGCTGTAAAATGGAGGCAGAGATGCAGTTTTTCTCCTGCTTTTAGTTAACTTGGCCAGAGTAAGAAGTCAGTGCTTTTTAACAAAAGCATTTCCTTAGCACCTGTTAGAGGTTTAGGGCATGCTTTCACAGCAATTTCATATTAGAGTGGCAGCTGGCTTAGGACATCTCACACATTTACCAGAAAGCTGGTCCCCTGTTCTCAATGCCAATTCACAAATGAGAGCAGGGTTTTGAGGAAACGGAAGTAAGGTTTATAGTTCATCAGATAGAGGACAGAGGTCAACCTCTCAAAGCTCTCGTCCCACCTCTGCTTTTTAAATGGGAGTTCAGGGGCTCAGTTTGAGTTTGCACTAAACACGTGGTTGACAGCAGGTGCTGGCCTTGGTTCTTCCAGTTTACTGGTGCCACACGTCTGAAGCGGTATGTCTTGGTTGACAGGTTTACTTCCCGATGGTCAGAGGTGTGTGTGGGGAAGACTGCCTGGTTTAATTGGAGAGTGAAGTGTTTACCTTGGCCTCTTTAACATGGAGACAGATAAAGGAAGGAAAATGTCAGTTTGGATAACAAGTGCAGCAGCCTGGCTAACATGCAGGCTGACTACAACTCTTTTGTAGTGCTGGTTACATTTTCCCCACTGTCAATTTATTTCTTACATTTCTATCATCTGCTTTCTGTCTTTAATTCGTGAGACGGACTAAGGAGTCAGTGCTCCCCAGCAAAACCAGTTTTAAGCCCCGGTTACATTAACCAGATGGTCGGGTGCTGAAAAAAGGCGGTGATTCTTCTGTAAACGACTATTAGCTCAAAAACTAGGATCAAACTGTTTAATAAACCCTGAGATGTCTCAGTCCCTGTCTTCAAAGAACTCATGAACCAGAGAAAGATGTGAACTGGCAAAGGACAGTGGTGCATGTGCAGCGAGAGGCTCGGGAGGAAGCGGACGTATTTCCCTCGCACAGGAGAGGGTGCTCTGGGGCGACCGTAAGGAGGACGGCCGCCCTACCCAGGCAAGGCCGGCACCGTCTTGCGCCGGAAGTGACGCGCGCCCCGCCGTCCCCGGAAGTGACGCGCGCACGCGCAGTGCGCCGGACCGAGTGGGCGGGCACCTCCCGGGCCGGGCCCTTCGAGCCGCCGTAGTGCTCGCTCAGGCGAGTTGGTGAGGCATGGAGCCGGTGGGCGGCGGTGGCGGCGATTGCCGCCGCCCCTGCTCCGCAGACCCACGGAGCACCTACGTGTTGAGTAACCTCGCGGAGGTGGTAGAGCGTGTGCTCGGCTTCTTGCCCGCCAAGGCGTTGCTGCGGGTGGCCAGGTGAGAGGCGGGAGGAGGGAGGCTCCCCTTGAGACGTGCCGCGGGCATGCCGGGGCCGGCGGGGCGGGAAGAAACCCTTCGGGACCACGGGTGTCGGAGGTTCCCCTGTCGTGCCTGAGGGGACCCCGACCCGAGGGCGGTGGCGCCCGAGCGAGCGCGGTTCGCCAGCTGTGTGCGTTTGCGTCCGCAGCGTGTGCCGCCTGTGGAGGGAGTGCGTGCGCAGAGTGCTGCGGACCCAGCGCCGCGTGACCTGGATCTCCGCTGCCGGCCGCCCGGGCGCGCGCCACCTGGACGGCCACTGCCTGGTCCGCGTGCTGGCCGAGGAGCTCGAGGCACGTAAGACGGGCGGTCGCGCAGTCGCTGGCAGGGTTGGTGGGCCGGCTGGCACAGCCGCTGTTTAATTCCAGTATTATGTGCCCTTACGCCTGTGAACTTCCGGAACAGGTGCCATGCCAAGATCGCGTGATAAACGTCAGATTTGTGACTTTATTCTAAGAGATGCTGCGTGCTTTATTCCAGATGACTGGCATGCATTTTAAGTGTCCAGCCGTTCATTTATTACAATCATGCCGCCCCCTTCCCTTCTCTTCCTTCCTTGGGCACAAGTGTTATGTCTCTTTTGCAGGGAAGGCCATTTGGTGTCACACACTAGAAAACCAAGAACCAAAACTTATACCCAAATCTTTCAGTCGTGGTCCTGTACTCTTGCATTTCTGGGACCCCCTCCGTTTCAAAAGTGGGGGTAGTATGTGGGGAGGTAAAGACATGGACGAGTTGGGCATTGAGGCTGTGCTTGCTTACTGGGGTGTAGGAGGGAGCTCTTTAAATTACCAACTTGATCTATTCCGCTATTCTTTAGTATAACGTACAAACAAGAATGTTCTTCATCACCACCGTACAACGATCAAAATCAGGAATTGTTGATATGTTGGTACCACCTTATCCTCAAACTCCATTCAAGATTCCAAGTCTTGACACTTGAGAAAATTAATAGGGCAGTTATTGTGTAGACCATCCACAAATTGGATGACTGAGGTTTATTTGGCTCAGATTAGGTATCCTTGGCAGGAATAGCAGGAGTGATGCTGTGCTCTTCTCATGGCATATATTGAGGAGGCATATGGTGTGGTTACCTTACTCCATTCAGGTGGTGTCATGTGTCTGTACTCTGAAATTACTCTCTTGCAGTAATTTATAAGTGTTTTGTGGAGAGAAACTTTGAAAGTGTTTACGCATCCTCTCTCAACTTACTCAGTTATTTGCATTTCTATATGCACTTGGTCTCTTACTCAAGAGTGTATCTGTTACTAGTAGTATTTATTTTAGTGTTCAAATTGTCTCCAGATGTACTAGTGTCAGGCTGCCTTCATTGCCTTTTTGGAGATGACTCCCATTATCTTGGAGCATCTTGCTTTCTGGCACAAGATGTTTTAAGCCTTTGTTGTATTTTGCCTGCTTCAGTTCTGGATTGACCATTTATCCAGGAAGCCCTGGTTTCTTTCAGTGGAGAACGGTATACAAAGGCTTGAGACTTGGACTCTCAAGCATGTACATTGCTGCTGGGGAGTGTGCTGCTCTTAAGCTCAGTCAGTGGAATGTGTACATGCATGTACAGTCTTCCTTTAATGTCTTCAGAGTGTTGGTTCCAGGACCTCCCATCCCATACAAAAATCCACAGATGCTACGCCCCTTACAGTAAATGGTGCAGTATTTGCATTTAACCTATGCACATTCAACCATTTATTTTAAATCTAAATCTTCTCTAGATGACTTATAATACTTAATACAGTGTAAATGTTTTGTAAATAGTTTATATTGCATTGTTTAGGGAAAACAAGGAAAAATGTCTGTATTATACTGAATACAGATGTGAGTTTTGCATGCATAAGTGTGTGCATACATGTATTCACACATCCATACAGATTTACAGCTATCTGTCTATCTGGAACCTCACAAATACCACATAGGATTCTTCCTAGCTTTCTCTCTAGTCACATATGTGCCTCCCTTTTGGACACTTAAGACGTCTGGCTCTTACTCTTAATATGTTTAGATAGTAGAACTGCTTCATATGTGATACCTGTTCTGTTTTTGGCCTTGCTGAGGTTTGAACTCTGCTTTAGACTTGGACAAAGGCTCTACACTTGAGCCACATTTTCGCTTTAGTTATTTTTTCAGATAGGGTCTTGAGCTTTTTGCCTGCACTGGCTTCAGACTTCAGTCCTCTCTCTGCCTCCCCACCCTCCCCCCTCCATAGCTGGGCCACAGACACCCACCACCACTCCTGGCTTGATTCAAATGGGGTCTCACTAACTTTTTGCCAAGACTGGTCTCCAGCTGCCATCTTATCTCTGCTTCCCAAATAGCCTTATGTGGGTTTCCTTCTTACTCCTTTTGGGCTTTGGGACTCAGACACAGGGAGCTGTCCAGCATCCAAAGTCAGGCTTGTTGGAAAACTTTCTTCTCTGGAACTTTGACCCAAATCCTCCTATTTCCAAAAGTTTGTTATTTGGCAAAATTCAAAATGTAAGCAAAGACTTTGCCACAACAGTGTTCTTTGGAGCATCATTTGTTATAAGGGAAATTGAAAACAATCCAGTGTTTATCATTAAATGATAAACTGCAAGGCGCATTTAATGAGAAAATGTTGATAAAAGTGAAAAATGCAGATTATGAAATTATATGTTTAGTATGCTCAGGATTAATAGAAAAGGAGAATCATAAGAAATAAGCCAAGTGTAGTATAGTTTTAAAAAAAAATTTTTTTTAATTTGTATGGTTGTTTTAATTTTCTTACCACAATAAACATTTTTTCTGTAGCTTTAAAGTTTATACAGTGTAGTAGCCATTATAGCCAGGCAGTCTTAAGTGTGAACCCCACCCTTGACACATGCTACCAGTATGACCTTGAAAAAGTTCCTTAACCTCTCTGAGCCTCAGATTCTGTTTCCATAAAATAAAAACAATAATTCCCCTATACTCTATATTCTTATAGAGTTATTGTAAGGATTACTATAAAGGCAGTGCACACAACACATTACAGTACCAATATGCATTTCCAATAGATGTTAAATACTATCTTAAAATAATACTGTAAAATTCATATAGTAATAGCCTTGTAGAAGTTTATATATTGTAGTAAGCTATGGTAAAATAAAACCATGGAAACTGTCTAAATCATAATTTTCTTTGTGTTTTCCAGATGATCTTTTGGACAGGCTACTTTCATAGCCATAGGGAATGATGATTTTAACTTTTTTATTAGAAATATTTTAAAGATCACTGCAAGTTTGATAAGGCAGCTTGCCATTTGTGGCTGCTTTGAATAATGGAATGAGATCTTAGTAGTCTTTTGTTGTACATTGAGAATATTTCATTTTGAGAATTGTTGCCACTGCTAGTGAGAATTAGAAAGGGAAATTCAGCAGTTGCTTTTCAGTGGATGCCAAAAAAGAGACAGAATCATACAATCTCAGTGCTAGACTTCTAGTATTTGTTTAAGAATAGGAAGCCTGAGGTCTAAGAGCTTTATAAGGATTCTTCTGGCTTATTAACCCTCTTGGTTCTCTGCTTCACTTGCCAAGCATTGCAGATTGATGTCACTCCAAGGTCAGGTAGGGAGCTGAAGTGGGTCCAGTGGCTCAGCAGAGTGCAGGGCCCTGGCAGTTCTCTGTTAGCCCCCATCATGAGGCATGCAGTCTTAAATGTTGCCAGAATGTTGGTTTTCAGACAAATGAGAAAATCCATATTTTATGTAAACAATTGTGGAGTTTTCAATTTTGGCAACCAGTTTACTCTTTTAAAAAATGTCATGTGGATCCAGTAAACTGAATCCTTAGGTCTTATCTAGCCTGGAGGCACCTTAAGCCATCTTGTGTGTCGGTGTCTTCTGTGATGCTATGTCGAAACTACATTCCCCAATTACAGTGGATCAGTATTTTTCCCAGTCTAACCAACAATGAAGCTTTGCTACATATTAAGTACTTCATTCCATTCCAACAGAAAAAAAACAATTGAAGGGAAAATCTCATTTAGCCACTTTGGCATTTTTCTGATGTGAGGTTTGGTGGAAGAGCTGTGAATCTGAATAAACCCCACCCATAGCAGAGACTGGGCACAAATCCAGCTGTAAAGGTCTCAAGTACTGATGGAGTTGAGGAGCAGGCTTTGTGGAGGAAGTGGCACTGAGGTGTCTCAAAGAGAACAGTCTTAAGGTAGATGGGAACACTTGCGGAAGTGGGCATATCTGATAATAGTGAGCTGAGGTTCCCTGGGAAACTAGTGGTGAGGGTGGGAATGAATGAAAGCCTGGAATATTTGATGTGATAGGCGGTGGGAAGAGGAGTGGTACAGCCTGTGTATACCCCTTCCCTCTGAGTGATGCTTTGTTACTGTGATGCCCAGTCCATCAAGTGGTGTCTTGCCCTTTCTTAGTGCTTTTGTTCTAAGATCTTGAGTTCCCATCATGAAAATGAACTTGAGGCTTGGGATAAATTCGACTTGGAGAAATAACAGATGTTTGGTACGGGATCCATTCTGACTTCTTTTCTTCGCAGAATGTTCAAGTCTTGCCACAGACTGCTCTCTACATGGCTGACTCTGATAGTTTTGTTAGTCTGGAAGAATGTCGTGGCCATAAGAGAGGTAAATATCAAAAGAAAGAAAAAGTCCCCCCACGCCATTTCTCTTGCACTTTCCTTTGGAGTCTGACATTGAACTGGCTCTGCTGCTTTTTTGAGACTCTCAGAAAGTTTTTGAACTTGAAGAGCGCTCTGTGCCTCAGATTGATTTCTAGCCCATGCAGTACAATTGAAACAAGCTTTTAAAAAGGTAGTTTTCTAAGGAACCCTATACACTGTTGGTGGCAATGTAAATTAGTGCAGCCACTATGGAAGCCAGTATGGAAGTGCCTCAAAAAAAAAGTTACCTTATGATCCAGTTACACCCCTCCTTGGTGTATCCGCAGAGGAATCAAAGTCAGTATACAGTACAGACACTGCATACCCCTGTATTGCAGCAATAGTCACAGTAGCCAAGTTAAGGAATCAGTCTAGGTGCCCATCAACAGATGAATAAAGAAAGTGTGTGTACACACAGAGAAATATTGCTCAGCCATGAAGAAGAACAAATTTACTACTTGCAGGAAAGTGAATGGAATTGGAGCTCATAATGTTAAGCAAAATAAGTCAGATTCAGATAAATACCAGTGTTTTCTCTCACCTGTGGAATCTGTATATTAAGGGGAAAAAAAGGGTATAAATGTAAAAGGAGGACTAGTTGGGAGGAGAGCCAGCAGAAGGGAGGAGCAGGAGAGGGCATGCAGAGGAAAAATTGTGAAAAGTATGCAGAGGAAAAATTGTGAAAAAAAAAGGGGGTAAGGATGATTATGGGGTGAATATGATCAGAGGACATTATATACACGTATGGAAACGCCACAGTGAAACTCTACTTCATACAACTAATGTACACTAAATTAAAAGAGTGTTCTCATTTCGAAACACTTTAATCTTCCAGGCATAAATTTTTGTTATTAAGAAGAAAGACTTGGGTTAGTCAAGCTTTTATAGTGTATTGTATTACAGGATCCTGTTTACTAAAGTTGCCTACAGACACTGCATTCTTGGCTTGCTGAGGGAAAAAGCAGACTAAGTGTCCAAGATGGGTACACTGAGGCCCAGAGTCACGTGGATGGAGCCTTGTCATTTGTCTGATTAGAATCCAGCCGACTGTGGTTCAGTAGTAGTTACGCAGTGATAATGGCTAAGCAGAGAGTTAAATAAGTAGCATGTCTCAAATATAGCTGCTGCTGCCAAATTTGATGTCACCAGGTCAAAAGCAGTCTAATTATGCCAAAGGTTAGATTTAGAATTTCAAACGTAGGAGCCAAAATGGAGAGATGGCATTTATTTATTTATTTAGGTGGTGCTGGAGTTTGAACTCAGCACCTCACCCTTGATAGGTAGGCAAAACTGCTTATTTAATTAGTGTTTACACTTTCTTGTAAAGCTTTGTACTGTTATGTTGCGCGCGCACGTGTGTGTGTGTGTGTGTGTGTGTGTATACGTTTGTATATTTGATCTTAAGGGGATGGTATTTAATTGTGCTATTGTGTTATTACAGCAAGGAAAAGAACTAGCATGGAAGCAGCATTTGCCCTTGAGAAGTTATTTCCAAAACAATGCCAAGTCCTTGGGATTGTGACCCCAGGAATTGTAGGTGAGACAAGTACAACTTGATTTCCTCCTTGCTTTAATGTTGGGTCCTATAGATTGGTGGATTATTTATGTCTGAAAAGCATATTCATATTGTTGGTCATCCAAAACTGTTAAAGCTGGTCATATTTGCCACTTAATGTTTGCTGTGGTTTGTTATTTCCTATCTGCCTAAAAAGCCAAATGTTATGCATGTATTTCCCATAGTCATTCGTAAGAGGGAAAAAACTCATTCTCCCTCTTTCCATATCAGAAAGAGGTAGAATCTGTGGGCATTTTCAGAGGCTCATTCAGTTCACTGTCGTGTTTCTGACGTGTAGGGTGATGTTGGCTGAGATTATAGGACACTCCTGTTTCTCTGCTTGCTACCACTGAGCTTGTGTCCTTTTGCATTTTGACTGCTGGCGGTGAATTTCCACTGTTTTTATTGTTACTACTATTTTGGTTTCTGTACGGTACATGGGATAGAGATTCTGTTGAGGAAGCATTAAGATACCTGCATCAGGATCCCAGCTGGACCATTCAGTATCTCTGTGACTTTGGGCAAGTGACCTGACATCCATGTGGCTAGGTATTAGTCACTATTCCTTTTTTAGTTTGAAAATTTTCATGTTTGAGAAATTGCATTGTTTGTCTTTACAGATGCAAGCAGCACTTTTCTTAGTTGAGCTAATTTTACTGATGGTCAGCTATAGCACTGTCAGTATAAACGTAATGAGTCCTACAACCTTCACTCCTCATGTCACCACCATACTCATGGAGACATGGACTGGAGACTTCCCCTTTGCCTTATTCCTACTAATCCCTCCCTTTGAAACCTCTGTTCTCCTTTCTGTGACCGTCAGGTTAGTTTTGCCTCTTGTTGAATGACATATAAATAGACATGAACTCCTTGTATTTTGACCCTTTTACTCAAGGTCAGTATTTTAGAAACATGTTTTTGGCAATTCTCTTACATATATCAGTAATTTACTTAGAAATTCTTGAGTAGATTCTGTTATTTTAGTAGGCGGTCATTTGTTTTCCCACTCTCTTTTTGAGGGACACTGTTATTTCCAGTTCCTAAGTATTGTGACTGAAGCTGTTAAAAACATTCACTTGGGCCAGAGGCATGGCTCAAGAAGTAGAATGCTTAGGGAAAGGCCCTGACTTCAAATAGCACCAAAAAAAAGGAAAGAAATTTTATGTAAGTCTTCTTAAATTCTCCTAGGCAATCATGGAGAAGTAAAGTTGTTGGGCCCTAGTGTTGGTGCATATTTAATTTGTTTTGAAAAACTTGCTGTCTGGAGAAGTTGAAAGAGTAACGGTAGAGCAGATGCCCTGCACTCTTCATCTAAGCTCCTCACTGAGAGATCTGCCACATTTGCACTTCCCCTTCTTTGACTGGAAAAGCATTTCTTTCTGAGCCATTTGGAAGCGCGTGGCACACATCATGACATGGTGCCTGAAACTGCCAAGGTTGAGAAGCTGTTACGCCAATCAAGGCCTTTTCTCCTGGTGCCTGTCTAGTGACCTAGGCTGAAGTTGTCTGGGTAGGAGTGGTTGATTTACATTATTCCAAACTGAATTCAATTTATTCTGAATGTGTTCTTTTTGTTTTTTCCTAGTGACTCCAATGGGATCAGGTAGCAATCAGCCTCAGGAAATAGAATTTGGAGAATCTGGTTTTGCCCTATTATTCCCTCAAATTGAAGGAATAAAAATACAGCCCTTTCATTTTGTCAAGGATCCAAAGAATTTAACACTAGAAAGACATCAACTTACTAAAGTAGGTAAGTTACTGTTACTTATCATTAACTACTGGTTTTGCTGATTAACTTTATTCTATTTTAACTATGGCTAGTTGGTGGATATTAGGTTCCATTGAGAGAATATAAATTAAGTATACCAGTTACTGTCAGTGTTGGTAACTCAAGCTAGTGATTAATAGAGGCTAGTCCAGTACATTTTTGGTAGGATTGATTTGCTTTTTAAAATTATTTTATTTTACTTAATGCCCTAGAGGCCCATAGATGAAAAAAATTCGATGAATACGCTGTTGATAATAAACTTGTTTGTATTCAATACTGAATTTTGAAGAAATTCTTGCTCTTTGAATAACTTCTTGTCATTTTGTCTTGTTTTTGTTTTTTGAAGCTCCAAAGTTTTTGTAAACTTTTTTCCCCCTAGTTATAAGCATTTTTTATAAAAAGGTTTTAGAAGAAACCAGTTGGTTCTAGGTGACTAATTAGGAAGGTGAGGGGTGGTTTAGGGCAGAGTCTGTGAAGCCAGGGTGGACTTGGACCCATGAGGTAAAAAGTGTGCTGGCAGAGCAAGTCACAAGAGGTGAATTTGGGTTCAGATTGTGATAAAGCTTAACACAGTACACAGCAAACTAACTATGCAAACAGAGCAGTATTACAGCCTTTTTTCTGTATCTGCCAATGAACGGATTGGACTTGTTTCTAATCGGTTCTCTGCACAGGTGAGGTGGTAATTATTTCTAATTTTGTTGTAGAGAGAGTATAAGCAATAATAGGAAGGAACAAGGGTTTTTGCTGGTTGAGATAAGGATAGCTGTACAGGGAGTTGACTCACATTGATTTCCTGTGCATGGGTGTTACCTTCTAGGTTAATTCTTTTTGATCTCACCTTTTCTCTAGTTCCTGGTCCCCTTCTCCTGTTGGCCTCAGTTGCTTTTAAGGTATCTGCTTTAGTTTCTCTGTGTTGAGGGCAACAAATGCTAGCTAATTTTTTAGGTGTCTTACCTATCCTCACACCTCCCTTGTGTGCTCTCACTTTTATCATGTGATCAAAGTCCAGTCCCCTTGTTGTGTTTGCCCTTGATCTAATGTCCACATATGAGGGAGAACATACGATTTTTGGTCTTTTGGGCCAGGCTAACCTCACTCAGAATGATGTTCTCCAATTCCATCCATTTACCAGCGAATGATAACATTTTGTTCTTCTTCATGGCTGCATAGAATTCCATTGTGTATAGATACCACATTTTCTTAATCCATTTGTCAGTGCTGGGGCATCTTGGCTGTTTCCATAACTTGGCTGTTGTGAATAGTGCTGCAATAAACATGGGTGTGCAGGTGCCTGTGGAGTAACCTGTGTCACAGTCTTTTGCTGCCTTTACTTTCTAAAGGCTGGGATTATAGGTGTGTACCAATGTGCCTGCCTCTGTATCCTAATTTTTACATATTTTTAAATTAGGACCATCTGAAGTGGGCAAGGAGTGAGTGGTTGGAGGCTGTGCTATGGGACATGCCTTCTACCAAGTCCCTGTCTGCATTTCTGAACCAGATACTGGGGCCAGATATCTGTTCTGTATCAATGGAAGCATTTTCTGTAAAGGGCCAGATAGTAAATATTTTAGGTTCTGCCAGCCAGATGGACTTGGTTGCATCCATTTGGTTCTGCTGTTGGAGAGCAGAAACAGCCATAGACAAATATATAGAGGAATGGCTGTGCTCCAGCGAAGCTTAGTTTAGACAGGGGCATGGGAGATGGCCTGGATTCGGCCCATGGACTGTAGTTTGTCTCCATACTGCTTAGGTTAGCTGTAGTGACTCTAATATCTTGTAAGAGAAGCTCACAATAAGCAAAGAAGGGGCCAGATCTGTCTGGAATGAAAAAAAAAGAGTGCATTTGGCAAGCAGTTTTAATTCTCAAGGAGAACATGCAAAAATACCTCAGTGAAGTTTCAAAAAAACATTGTTTATTACTGAAAAACTGTTTGTGGGTATGCTGTGTACAGGTTGCTGTATGTGATGACACTGTGCCTGGACCTCCGAGCCAGCAGAGCAGTCTGACTGAAGAAACAATCACAGGTGTGCTAGAAAACACATAACTAGGGAAACACATACGTAGTCTGGGGTGTCGGGAGAGTGACAGCCCTAAGATGGTGTGAATGAGGATTGGGTAGGGAGTTTTATAGGTGGTCTTAACCTTCTTTCCAGGTTGCTACAAAACCCCCCACAAGGTAGCCAGGAGATCAAAAGAAATAGAGAAATCTGATAACTCTTCTTCAGGGCTATATAAATGTGGGTTCCCACAGCACAGTTGGGGAGCAGTAAGAGTGTGTTGGGTAGTGGGAGGTTAAGAAGCTGAAGGGGATTCTGTCAGGCCTGGTAGGCCATACAAAGGAGGAGCGATGGGAAACCAGGAGTCTCAACACAGGCGTCCCATAATCAAATGGGTCTTTAGAAAATACCACTCTCACTGCTGTGTGTTGGTCAGTGTAGAGGAATACAAGAGTAGATGCAGGACAGCTCAATTTAGCTAGATAGCATATGCATATTTCAAAACTTCTTGTCATTTTTGCCAATTAAAATTAATTTTTTAAAAAGTAGATACAAGGAAAAACAAGAGGCTGTTGTAGTAGTTAAGGCAAGAAGTAGCAGCCTGGGCTGCATAGTGGTAAGAATTGTTGAGAAGTGAGTGGACTCAGGATAAAGTTTAGGGCCAGGCTCAATGGCTCACATCTATAATCCTAGCTACGCAGGAGGCAGAGATCATGAGGATTTCGTTTGAGGCCAGCCCTGGCAAAAAGTTAGACCCCACGCCACTCCCAGCCACTTCAGTAAGCTGGGCCATGATGGTGTGCGTCTGTCCTCCTTGCTACACAGGAAGTGTAAGTATGATCTAGGATCGTGGTCCCAGCCAGCCAGCCAGCCAGCCCACCCAGACAGAAAAACATGAGACCCTATCTGAAAAATAACTAAAAGTAAAAGGGGCTGCAGGCATGGCCTCAAGTGGTTGAGCACCTTTCTAGCAAATTGTGAGGCCCTGAGTTCAAAACCCAGTACTGCTTTTCAATTCCATGTTGAATGTTGAGAATGAGGGAAGTAACAGTGATGCCACCCAGGTTTTGGGTTGGGGCAGCTGCACATTGCCATTGCCATTTTATCATTTGTGTTTTGGACATGTTGACTTTGAGATAGGGATAGTGATTAGATAAGGTCCCAAGATCCAAATTCGAGAATCCTCAGGTAATGATGGTAAATGAGACACAAGGGGCTGGGTCAGTGATCAGCTGTGGCGGAGGGGCGAGGCGTGGTATATATATTGGTTGTTCTGGGCTGGTACTGAGGTAATGTGACTGCCACATCCCTTCCCGTGCTTACATTGAAGACTTTATTGACGCTACTCAGGAAGGAGGTTCCTACCTTTTCTTTTGAATATCTGTGACATTGTCCTGATCTACTCACTTCTGTGGGATTGGTAATCTTGTTTATAAAATAAGATCGGTTGATCCCACAGGCCTCTTACAACTCTGGAAATTTGTTGTACAAAAGAAAATATTCTCTTAAAATTTGCTAGGCTAGTCCATAAGAGAAGGAAAAAAAGTGATGGTTTGGGGTACTTGGTGTTATGAAATACTAATACCTTTTCACTGTCCAAATCAGTGACTTACTGTGTAGAGAATTAGAAATAGCCCAGAGGTAGATTCCTAGGATAAATCATTTGTGTTAGCATTTGGTCATCTCACACCCACCCCATTTGGTTGAGTGAGCTTTGTTTCTCACCTTTGGTCTATCAAGATGGAAGTTATGGCTTGGGTGCAGTGGCTCACATCTGTAACCCCAGCTGTTCAGGAGGCAGAGAACAAGAGGATCTCAGTTCAAGGCCAGCCTGGGCAAAAAATTAGCAAAACCTCCATTTCAGCCAATAAGCTGGGTGTGGTGGCCTGCTGCCTATGATCTCAGCTATGCCAGAGGCATAGGTATGAGGATCATGGCCCAGACAAAAATACAAGACCCTAATTGGAAAATAACCAAAGTAAAAAGGGCCGAGCACATGGCTCAAGTGGAAGAGCACCTGCCTGGAAAGCACAAGACCCTGAGTTCAAACCACAGTACTGACAAGAACAAGACAAGATGGAAAGTCATGTGGCCAAGTCAAATGGAGGGAAACACAGGTGTAATTGGATGTTGGATTTTCTTCTTGTCTCAGAAGCCACCTCTGTTTGGTTATGCTGGTGAATTTCAAACTGATGTTCTATAATGTGCCAGAGGCTCAAGTGAAAGGGGAGGAACTGGGGGTGCAAGCTGGGTCCCCTGGACTGCTGTGTCACCCCCTAGTGGTAGCTGCTTTCAGTCTGTATGCAACAGGATTGACCCTGTTTCCACTTTGGGGATTGCTTTATTCGCTAATCTGCCTTCACTCCCACCTGGTCCTGAGGAGAGGACGAAGTCTGTTTCTGTGGTGCAGTAGTTTCTGGAAACTGCTGTAATAGATTACCACAGAATGGTGGCTTAACCACCACACATTTATCCTGTTCCCAGTTTAGAAGTTGGAAATCAATGCAGTAGGACTATACTCCCTCTGGAGACTAGCAGAGAATCTGTTGTCCCTTCCTCCTTCTAGTGGCTGCTGACATTTCTCAGTGTCACATCATTCTACTTTCTGCCTCTGTGGTCACACTGCCGCCTCTTCTTTCACCTTTGTCTTTTAAGGACACTTGTCATTGGACAAGGTCCTTATTGACACCTGTAAAGATCTTTCTTCCATATAGGGTCACTCACATTCATAAATTGAAGGGATTGGGGTGGGGGAGCTACCATTCACCCCACTATAGCTAGTTAGTGCCCTTTCTTTCCATTCTCTTTGGATCGTTAATTCCCAATGCTGTTAACCCTGTTGTTCTATGTAAACCAGTGTCCCTTTCATTTCAGGTGGTGGCCTGTGTGGAATCTGCTTGCACCATGGTCCACCAAGGGCTGCTGCTCGGGACATAGCTGCCTGTGTGAGGTGTTATGTTATTTTCAAATAGCCAGTGAGGTTTTTCAATAGAAAGAATTTAATTGCAGCTAAGAGTTTGAATAGTATTAGTTTGTATGAAATGGAAAACTTGACAGGTTAAGTGCTAAGTAATACTTCATTAGAAATGCCAGTTATTAAGGTAACATTTCATTTTGCCAGATGTATAAAATAATTCCTGTTTTACAGCTGTCTTTAATTGTTGCTTTCTTTTCCCTTAGGTCTTCTCGATAACCCTGACCTTCGTGTGGTCCTTGTCTTTGGCTATAACTGCCATAAGGTGGGAGCTGGGAATTATCTGCAGAGAGTACTCAGCACTTTCAGTGATACAAACATCATCGTGGCAGGAGGCCAGGTGGACAAGCTGTTGTCACTGACTTCTGAGAAGTATGTCTGCTGTGCATTGGATTTCTTCTCTGAGTGAAGGGAAATGGTCTCAGGTTCTTATTACTTGAGTTTTTAAAAAATATTTTTAAGGAATTGCAAATGTACCAGTTCGTTCCACTTTTCTATAGACAGGGGCTTACTCAATACAATTCTGCTTGTAGTTGAAGAATTCAGCTTATACATATCATCCTTTAAGGACTTCTTAGTTGAACTCATATTGTTGAAATCGATTTTCAGTGTTGGCCTATTGATCTTTGCTTTGACAGCTCTGGTACTCTTTGTGACCTCAAGATGTCACTTCTGCAAAGCAAGAAATCACAAATGAGGTTAAAATAAAAGCAGACAGTACTTTTGTACAGAATTTATGTGTTAGTCAAGAGACACAGATTGGGTTAAAAACCAAACGAGTTCCATCAAGGGGAAGGAGAACTGGGTTTCTAAAGGGGGGGGGGACAATGGGATAAGGTGAACTTGTTCTGAACAATTTTTGTATGGCCCTATTAGTTACACAGTTGCTTTGAATGAATTTAGATTGATGCTGGGGTCCGTTTGTATGTTCTACTGTACATGATAAGGGCCTATTGCGAGGAGATCATCAGTAAGCAGTAAATCTTTAATTTGCAATCTGTGGTCTTAAAAACATATTCTTTCAAAATAGCATTAATTAGAGGTTGAGGATTGAGAGATGTGTGTCTGTGAAGCAATCTGCAGCCTGATATACGTGTTCTGAGACAGAGAAATTCTTTTCCTTAATTTTATTTCCACAGTTTCTGCTTCCTTCTTTAAAGGAAGTTTAAAGTGTATCTTTATGGCACAACCTCTCAGAGCCTGTAATAGGTTCGGTGCTTTGGAAATCATCTCTGGGGTGGGGTGGAGGTAAGGAATAAGAATAATATTACCTGTGGCAGTTCTCAAGTCTTATTTTCACAAAACTTATCAATGGAGCATCTTGGAGGTATCTCACTGGTACTTCTTGGCATATATTTTTGGAAATTCTGTACTAGATCTTTTGAAAAGTTTTTGTCAAGCTAAAAAATTGTAGCTTTTTACTTTTTTGTTACTAAGGCTTTTTTTATTTTCACGGATCGTGAAAATAAGATTGCATCTTGCCATCTCTTTTTGTTTTGTTTCTTTGGTTTATTTTGCAATTTGTGGTGCTGGGTCCCTTTCCACTTTTTGAATGAAAGTATCTAGCATTTTGAGTTTGAATTAATTAGATGGGTATCATGATCATTTGTTTTCAAAGCAGGAAAATTAACTCCCCCCACCCCCAGTACTACTACCTGTAAATACTGTTTGTCCCTGTATTTGTACTTAGTATTTGGATCCTAGAGTGGTGATACAAGGACAGTTTATTATTTGTAAGAGCAATGTAAATCATCCTAAGGGTCTCTGTTAATTACCAGGGAAAGTAAACAGCTAAGTCAAGGTAGAAGGGAGGAGAGCCAAGTACACTGAATTCCAGACAGTAGTATATCAAGTCCTGGATTTCTTCACTAATTCTTGGTGGTTAAGATTTTTCTTCTTGCATAATCTTCCCTGTCTTTACAATTGACCTTTATTTTTTTTTAATTTTATTTATTTATTTTTTGCTTTTTTCACTACTTTATGGGATTACATAAATGAGCCATTAAAAATGTAAATCTTCAGAACAGTGGAATAATACAGATTTAAACAATAAACTCAGGGCCGTACAGTACAGAAGCCGCCCCGCGAGCACTATTGCTCCATTGTGACTATGGCAACAACAGAGGGTGAGGGAAGGACAGAGAGGAAAGAAATAAAACATCTCCACATCCTAGCAGTCACTGGCACCACAGAAAGATTAGGGTGTTTTGTTTTTTTTTTTAAATTGTTTTATTATTCATATGTGCATACAAGGCTTGGGTCATTTCTCCCCTCTGCCCCCACCCCCTCCCTTACCACCCACTCCGCCCCCTCCCTCTCCCTCCCACCCCCTCAATACCTGGCAGAAACTATTTTGCCCTTATCTCTGATTTTGTTGTAGAGAGAGTATAAGCAATAATAGGAAGGAACAAGGGTTTTTGCTAGTTGAGGTAAGGATAGCTGTACAGGGAGTTGACTCACATTAATTTCCTGTGCATGTGTGTTACCTTCTAGGTTAATTCTTTTTGATCTAACCTTTTCTCTAGTTCCTGGTCCCCTTTTCCAATTGGCCTCAGTTGCTTTTAAGGTATCTGCTTTAGTTTCTCTGCATTAAGGGCAACAAATGCTAGCTAATTTTTTAGGTGTCTTACCTATCCTCACACCTCCCTTGTGTGCTTTTGCTTTTATCATGTGATCAAAGTCCAGTCCCTTTGTTGTGTTTGCCCTTGATCTAATGTCCACATATGAGGGAGAACATATGATTTTTGGTCTTTTGGGCCAGGCTAACCTCACTCAGAATGATGTTCTCCAATTCCATCCATTTACCAGTGAATGATAACATTTCGTTCTTCTTCATGGCTGCATAAAATTCCATTGTGTATAGATACCACATTTTCTTCATCCATTTGTACAATTGACCTTTAAGTTGTACACAGATAGAGCAATGGTGATTTGTGGGGAGCAAAATATGAAAAGCCTATTGAGAACTTGACATAAGCACAACTATGTCAAATAATCTGCGGGCTGAGTTTGGCACAGTCCCAGCTGCAGAAGGGGGCAAGGGCAAAATGCAGCACGGCTGCTTTTCCTAAGTTGTTTAAGTTCAAGTAGTGGTTGCAGGTTTCTCTTGTTACAGTGTCATGCCCCTCCCTGAGAACTGTTGTTCCACCTCCTTGTTTATCACTAGATATAAAAGACTCACTGAAGGAGGGTGTTGATTGGTTGGCTGCTGGCTGTTGGCTGCTTGCGAAGGGTGGCTGCTGCAGGCTGCTACTGCTGCTGCTGGCTGTTGTGTGTCTGTGAGTCTAAGGACTGAGACTTTAGGAGTTATGCTAGAGATTAGAGGAAACATGGGACAGTGCGAGTCTGAGGACCAAGACTTTAAAGAATAGAAAGGAGGAAAGACTTTATATAATAGAAAAGAAGTAAGGTTTTAAAGACTACTAGAGAAGTAAAAGCAGCTGTTGTGCATCTCCATCTTAGTGCCCAGCACACCTGACCCCAACTTCCTGCATGTTTGTCTTCTATCTTTTGTCCTTTCTGCATCTCCAGTTGCCAGTAGGACAAGGAGCTTACGTGGGTCACGAGAGTGATTTAACATAGTTAACCTGTAAAATGCAAATACCTTACTCAAGCTTATAAATCTGAGATGCTGGCCTATCTGTATAGCTCAGTGTATCATTTGTCTTTATTTTTATCATTTGCTTTTTATACCTAATATAGAAAATATCCTACAGTCCTTCCACCTTATATGACACATTAGTTTTGCTTTTTTGGTGGTACTTGAGTTTTTTAACTCAGGGCCCTGCCCTTGCCAGGCAGGTGCTCTGCCCCTTGAGCCACACCCCCAGCCCTGACACATTAATTTTAATGTAGTCATTATACTGTGTCAGTGGCTAAGAGAAGCTGTTGAGTCAATCAGTACTCCATTTTAATGCTGTCAAAGGTAACCCAGCTACTCTGACCCCCAAAAAAAAGATAGTAAATGATTTTTGGGGCAAGAGATTGATAACATGCATTACAGTTCTATACCAAAGAGGAATGCAATAGTTAAAGGAAATGAGGGAGGCCCTCCCAACCCGGTTTCATCACTGGCTAGTCTTACTATATTAGTTAACCTTTTTGAGTCTTGTTTCTTGCCAACACAGTGAGTCTTGCCCATTGTATGGATTCAGATGTTGATAAACATGATAGCGATGTAAGGCATTTACTTGTTTCTCTCCCCAGTGGGTGTTCACTATATATGTTTTATAGTTTTTATTGACATAATTTCTTTTGTAAGGATAAAATACCTCATTTTGAAAAAAGCAGGTCATACAAACAAAAGGAAAACATGAGTTCTTACCATTAGATTAAGCCACATTCTGGGCTCAAAGAATTAAGAGAAAAAGCGATGTAATACGTCTTTATGAGCCAACCAACATAAAGCTAAAACTTCTGGTGTTAATAGATTTTAAAATTATCCTCTGTGATTGTATTTTTAGTATACTTCAGAATTTGACAGCTGGAGGGGTTAAGAGGCAATACCACAATGTAAATCATACCAAGAAGCATGATTAAATAGATGTTTGGGTTGGGAAGTAGCTCAGCGGCACATTTGCCTAGCATGCTCAAGGCCCTGGGGTTTTATCCCCAGCACGGCAGTAACAACCCAAATGAAGGTATGTGTCTTTGTGTACATGAATAAAGTCATGATTCCTATTAAGATATTTAGGCAAGATGTTCTATTCCTCCTAATAACTCGGGATGAATTTCAGAAATCATTGTGAATATGCATGTCTCCTTTGTATTTGTGCCTGAAAAGGACTGTTGCTTGATTCATTTGGTCTGACATCTGCATTCTTTCAGTATATTAATTTTACCAGTTTAATACTTAGCCCTTTTCATGTACTTTTCCTGGGAGAGTGAGTCTTAGACCAAAGATGGGCTGCTAAAGCAGCAGTCCCTCCCTAACCCGACAGTGTATCAAAAGGGGTAGGTTTTTATTTTGTTTCGTGGTATATTGCTGCTTTTCTAATTTTATTTTCTAGGAACCCTGTGGATATTGATGCCATAGGTGTGGTGGGACTGTCATTTAGTGGGCACAGAATCCAGAGTGCCACCGTTCTCCTTAATGAGGAGGTCAATGATGAGAAGACAGCAGAGGCAGCCATGCAGCGCCTCAAAGCAGCCAACATCCCTGAGCAGAACACCATCGGATTCATGTTTGCGTGCGTTGGCAGGGGCTTTCAGCATTACAGAGACAAAGCAAATGTGGAGGCGGATACGTTTAGAAAGTTTTTTCCTAGTGTTCCCTTGTTTGGCTTCTTTGGAAATGGAGAAATTGGATGTGACCGGATAGTCACTGGGAACTTTATACTGAGGAAATGTAATGAGGTAAAGGATGATGATCTGTTTCATAGCTATACAACAATAATGGCACTCATTCACCTGGGGTCTTCTAAATAAACCCATCTTTAAAGTGGCTTTCACAAGATGTAACTTTTGGGTTCTGCCTTTTCCAGAAAATGGAAACTCAAACAAAAATAATCTGGGTGGGTTTTTTTGTTTGTTTTTTTTATCTTTGACTGATGCTGTACGATCATGTTGGGGTAGTTTTTAATATATTAGGTGAAAGACAACTTTGTATACAACATAACACAGACCAAGATTTGAGAGCTATGCATCAGCCACAAGCAAACCAGTTCTGGCCATATTGCACCAGAGTATGCAGCAGCTACGTAAGGTGACGTTAAGTAGCTTTCCTGCATAGGACAATCAAAAGTGATTCACCAATGAGATGGAGATCTGAGACATTCCAGAATCATGAAGACATTTTTTTCTCCCTTATTAAAAAAGAGAAAAATATATAGATGACTCAAGAACTCTTTCTCAGTTTTACCAGCTTTTACTTACTTGATAAAAATTAAAGAATATTTTTGCTTTGGTACACTAAAGTGTTCTATCAGTATTTTACAAGTAAACCATTTTCCTCTTCAATAAAGAAATTTCAAGAGAATCATATTTTCATGTAGTTCTATATAGTTAGTTAATTGGCAGACCAGAAAATTACATGACCTAGTTTTGGTTTTATACCAATGAAACGTATCTTGGAAACTCAGAAGTATTTTACATTCCATTGCTTTTGGTGAGTGAATGAAGGATATAAGCTAATCTGCTATAAATGAAAACCTAGAACAGCAGCTCTCAGCTAGTTAATTCCATGATAGTCCCAATGAGTTTCAAGTTTGAATTTTTAATTACACAAATGTGTACGAGAACAAGTTTTCCTCAGCTTCTATTCTTTTCACGTAGTGAAGGAACCTTTGGTTTTCAGTTAGGCACATGCCTTCCAGAACAAAAACTGCATTTCTCGGCATCCCTTGCCAGATATGTCTGTGTTCTGGCTGATGGAGTGTGAGGGAAGTCCTTTTGTGTCGTTAAAAGTGGCATGACCATTGTTTTCCCCCCTTCTCTATCCTACTGCTATCCTATATGGATCTGGTCATGAGCCATCTTGGATACTGCAGAGAAGGCAACATCACATTGTAGAAGAGAACCAGAGGACTCCTGGGTCCCTGTACACCTCTGTTGAAGCACTTCCATGATGGACCTAGACCACCTGTTTTACAGGACATTTGAAATTAACCTCAGCTTGCTTAAGCTGTGTTCTTTTCCAGGTCTTTGTTGCAGGATATCCTTAAGAGGTAACAGGTATGTGGCACTTTTGTAATGATCGGGGGTTTGTTATAACAAAACAGAAAATTTGCAAGGTAAGTAAAATCAAATATCTTAGCATTATTCCTGTTTTTATCAATTTTCTCCCAGTTTTTCCTCAACAGATTTTTCTCTTATTTGTTTATATATGATAAATACTTAAATAGTTCATGTCATGGTTATTCTGACTCTTAGTTCCTGAGCAAAGTCAAAAGTTTGTGAGAACTTTTAATCTGTATTTCTCTTCTCTTTCACTATTAACTTCTCCATCATTTGACATTGGTTCATGTTCTCAGTTACGTAGTGCCTTAATTCTAGTCCTTGAATATGCTTTAGAGCATGTAGGCAAATAATACAATTTTTTTGTCCCTGATATTCACCAGACGTGGTTGAATAATAGTGGAAAATGGGTTTTTAAAAGTGAAAATATGAACAATGAGCCTGAGAATTAGGTGTATTGTTTTCTTTTTCAAATTAATAGTTACATAAAGTATTTTGTTCTCAAAGGACAGTCTGCTGCAGGGTGCCTTCCCACCATGTTTGGCACTTTTGTGGAAGTTACTTTTAGTAAGGACTTTGGGGATTTTGATAAAATCAGTCACATAGTTGGAACCTTAGTGCAAAGTAGAAAGTGGAGAAGTTGACTCAAACAGTAGTGCTGATAAGAACAGTAGTCATCTTAGCTGCCTCCTGGAGGCCTCCAGGTTAATTACTCAGTTAAAGCTGAGTAATTAATTTGCTACAATTATCTTATACAAAGGCAGGTAATAAAAGAATAATTACTGGTTCAGCTAAAACCAAACTAATTGCGTAGAGATGGAAACCTTTGTAGTCTCTTGTGAAAGTACAAAAGTGATCACATGAACAAAATTGAGGTGAGCACAAAAGAAGTGGAGGTGAACCCTTAGTGTGTTCACATACTGACCTGTCTCAAGTGAAGCAGATGATACAGTGGCTTATATAAACAAGTCATTTTTAAACCCTGGTTTCTCTATGTACTCTCAAAGCAAAATCATTTGTGGGGCTGTAGTTTACTTTGGAACAGGCTGTGTCAAGTAACACATTTTCCATCCCCTTTGATCCAAGTTAAAATTAAAGGATGAGGGAAGGCAGCAAACCTTGGAATAGAGACCTGTGGATGGATGCACATTCACAGTGATCCATGCAGGGGAGGGCCAGTGCGTGCCTTTCCCACTGCAGATTTCTCAGTTTTGCTCAAACCTGGACTATCTCATACTGGGAGTCTGGATAGCAAAAGATTTATCACTGATTTATACTGCATATTTAACAAGATGAACATGAGAGAATTACAATAGGAATGAACTCATAAATCTGAGAGCTTCCTGTACAGTCTGGATTTCAGGTTTTAAAGTGTGCTTTTGTTGTTTTAAACCCACACAATCTGGCTCAGATTAGCACTACCATAAATGCAGTTTTAACGAAGGCTCTCAACCCTTTTGATGGGAAATCTTGAGATTGCAAATGATTGACTTGAATTTTTAGCCATAGAAGCTGGATATTAGCTGGCTTACATGCTGAGGTAATATAGTATTTGCACGATGAGATCCTTGTTAAATAGTAAATACCTCTACTTCGTAAGGAATGTTATTAGAAAGCTATTTTAATATTGACCCTACTTCGTATGAGTAGTCAAATGCTGGCAAGATGTTATTTTTGTTGTATACTCTTGGCAATACTTTGGTTTGAACTCTGGGTTTGCACTTACTGGTCAAGTACTCTACCACTTGAATCATACCTCAGCCCTTTTTTGCTTTAGTTATTTTTTAGATAAGGTTTCACTCTTTAGCCCAGGACCAGTCTTGGACCTTGATCATCCCGCCTCTGCTGGAATTGCAGGTGTGTGCCATCATACCCAGCTGTTTTATATACTTCAGTTCTGCACTGTTCTATAACTTCTATAACAGAACATAATGCCACTATCAAGTAGAAAACATTGGCAGGAACCAATAAATGTCATTCGGTGTTTTGGTGCCAAGTATGTATGTATTTCTTGTACTTGTATTTATAAAAAGTTTTTGTTCTCTTTAGCTCATAGCCAGCCAAAAAAAAACAAGATTGGTTGTTGGTTTTAAGTGCAAATGATAAAACTGAGTATAATTTTCAGATCATTGTCTTACCATTTTTCTAATTTTGACTAATCAAAATTCAGTTACCATATATATAATAAACATTCTGTGGCTGGATGTGAGGCCTGCAATCTTGGGAGGTAAAGAGATCAGGAAGATTGCAGTTTGAAGCCACCCTGGGCAAAAAAGTTAGTGAGATCCCCATCTCCACAAGCAGGCTGATTATCGTGGTATACTGCTATAATCCCAGCTACATGGGAGGTATAGGTAAGAGGCTCACAGTCCAAGACTGGCCTTGGGAAAAAAGCACAACACTGCATCTAAAAAATAACTACAGTAAAAAAGGACTGGGAGAGTGGCTGTAGTGGTCTAATGCCTGCCAAGCAACCACAAAGCCCTGAGTTCAAACCTCAGTACTGCCCAAAAAAAAAAAAAAAGAAAAAATTCTGTTTAAAGTCTTGTGATTCTATAATTCTAGATGAGAATACTTATTGACCTGAGTGACATGAACAAAATGATGAATTAGGAAGCTCCAAGCTCTCATTCCTCAACAAACAAGGAAAACATATAGCCGGAGATCTGTAAAACAGTTTACAGCAATCAAAAGAATACCCAATTAAAAAGTCATCTTCAAAAAGATTTTTGTGACATTTCTACTACCCCCACAGTGACAGTCTCATTCTTTAAGCGGCAGAAGCTCAGTTTCCATCTGCAAAGTAGAAGTAGAACAGACCTTATTTGCAAGTTATTGTACACATTTGTAACCTGAGAAACATTTTGATTTTGCAGTCAAAGCCACAAGGATCCAAAGGTGCCTGGTAAGAGATTATCAGTGGAGATGTAAAGCAGACCAGTTAAGGCCCAGAGATGAGGGAGGGCGGGGCCAGAATGCTACAGACATGCTTGCTCAGAAAAAATCCAAGACCATAAACTCAGTGCAAACCTAGCTGCATGTTGGATCACCCTCGCAATGTGCAAAACAGAGTTGCATAAAAGGAAATTTCTGTCAAAATAGCTGAGTGTGAGAAAGAACAAAGGCTAACAATCACACATGCAAAGGAATTAACCTCTGTTTGAAAAACAATCAGCAAGATGATAAATGAACAAAATCAACAAAGAAAAAGGACTTCCAAGAAAACAAAAAATTTTAGAAGAGGAAAGTACAATTAGTGAAATTTTCACTAGCAGAGTTCGGCAGTGGATTGAGGGCAGGGGTGGCAGCACTAAGAAGAGTGAAAATGGCCTCCAGGGTTTCTGGGACACCACTGATAACGGAGCAGCTCAGCGCACCAGGGCTGTGTTCAAGCAGCCCTCGTTTTCACCCAAGATATAAGAGCAACATGACAACCTCACTACAGCATATTGTTAAAATCACTTGAGTTACAGATTTGTCATCTCCTACTACCACCACACTTGAGGATTGAGTTCAGAACCTAATACATGCCAGGTAAACACTAGCTGTCAGCTGTGCCCCCAGCCCTGATACTGTTACTCTCTTACTGTGCCTACCTTATAAATTAACCTTTACCACAGGTGTGTGTGTGTGTGTGTGTAGTCCTGTGTTGCATATGAAAGGGTTGCATTCTGAAAAATGTCTCCTTAAGTAGTTTCGTCATTGTTCTACAAGTAGTCTTAAACTAAGACTGGTACGTTACCAGGCACTGTAATCTTATGGGGCCACCACTGGGTATGT